TTTGCCACTGCTTCCTTAACATGTCATAAAACATGACTCATCAGGAGTGGTGGGCCATATACTGCAGTTTAGTTGTAAATCACAATAAAAACTGATACTGGTGCTATCTAGGTACAAAAAAAGTTTAACAAATACATATTTGTATATACTGACAATGTTAGTTACTTGTGTATCCTGTACAGGACGTAGCAGAACCAACCCCAGCATTTTTTGTTTTTTTGCTGCTGTGGTTTTTCAAGGCAAATTTATACCCAGCAGTTCGCCACTGCTTTCTGGGTGGCAGTTTTCTCGATACAGCTGGGATCGAACCCGGCACCCCAGCATTACAAAGCGTGTTTACTACGCCTAAGCCACAGATAAATTACCCACTAATTACAGCTAAGTCATGAGAAACTCATTTCCCTGCTCATAGAAAAACTAAAACAACACTACTGAACTTTTGGCTCTACTGTCAAATTTGGCCGGTAAGCTGGACTGCTTCGGCCGGCTTAGCGGGAGTTATGTCCCGTCGCGTCCCTTCGCCAAACTCAAAACAAGTCGCGGAGAAAGTCACGAATCAAATGACATACTTACCTATCATCATCCGGGTGCGTGTAGGGCTGCGTAGGGTTGCGTCTAGGGTTACCTATCATCATACGGTTGCGCGTAGGGCTGCGTAGGGTGTCTATCATCATCATACGGTTGCGTGTAGGGATGCGTAGGGTGTCTATCATCATCATCATACGGTTGCGTGTAGGGTTGCGTAGGGTTTGGGTTAGTGGTAGGGTTAGGGGTGTGGGTTAGGGGTAGGGTTAGGCGGAGGGTTAGGGTTAGGGGTTAGGGTTAGATGTGAAAACTTTCAAGTAGGAGGTCGAAATACTGGCCGACAATCTGATGCTTGTGGGAGTGGCGCCACTGGAAGTGTGCCAAATATGACGGCAATAGCGTGCGGCGGCTGGTGCCTAAGCGGTGGCGAATTGTCCGTGTCAGTAGCATCCACCGTCCGTCGACTGTTTGCGCGTGCATGCGACTGTGCGCGATTGTAGGGAACTACGGCGTCACAATTGTCACATCTAACGCTACACCTAACCCTAACCTCTAACCCTAAACCTAACCCCACCCCTCATCTTACGCAAACAACCAACCTACACGCAATAAGCAGCCCTACACGCAACCGTTGGACGATGATAGACACCCTACGCAACCCTACACGCACCCGGATGATGATAGGTAAGTATGCCGTTTGATTCGTGACTTTTTCCGCGACTTGTTTTGAGTTGTTTTGAGTTTGGCCAAGGGACATAACTCCCACTAAACCCCGCTAAGCCGGCCGAAGCAGTCCAGCTTACCGGCCAAATTTGACAGTAGAGCCGAACTTTTATTAACTGCTGACCCAACACCACCTGTCTTCTGCTTGCTAAAAAGACATTAATTTAATTTTTTTCTCCAGAATCATCAATCAGGAGCCGTCTCCATAATGAAAGCTCACTGCAACAGATCTCCAACACGCTCTGTCTCTTGTCTTGGTTGTAGTCTCTCAGACGATATATTAACCCCTCATATGCAAACTTTGTTCTTGTGATGCACTGTTTAACCCTTCCCCACACTTCTCTAGAGCTGTCTATTTCCAGCTCAAAGAAACAGACTGAGAAACAAAAACTAAAAAATGTAACTTCTGACCAAAGCTGTCTAGCTTTATCAAACTTTACAAATATTTTAAAAATAAAACTGTGCACATCCGCAAAATATTTAAATGTAAAGTTATAGAATCCCAGAAAAACACCATAAATCACAGAAAATCCTGCAATAAGATCCCTTTTGGGTCCACAGAAACGCTCACAAAGAAGAATCACAGAGAATCGGAAATCCAAAACAAAATTTTAAAAAATGCACAAAACAATTGTCTTCCTTAAATTCAGCTTTCTTCTACGGACAAACAAACAAACAAACAAACAAACATGCACAGGATGACCCACACACTCACCTATTAACTCTTTGAGTCCCAAGGAACGCATCATACGTACGTAGTTCCTACCTAGAGGCCCAATGAACGCATGATGCGCTGATTTTACGCCTCTCTTAACCCTCCTAGGGCTGTGATGCTAAACCCCCTGGGACTCAAAGAGATAAATCCCAGAAAAACACCACAATCACAGATAAATCCTGAGAGGAGATCCCATCTCTAATCTCTGGGCTCACAGAAACAGAACAAAAACATTAAACTCATCATTAGGCCTATACAATTTTCCTACAGCTGGCTTTCTTCTACTACAGCAAAAATTCAGTTTACTAAATACAAACCTGCATAGATAAAAAACATAATCACCTAGTAAATCCCATAAAAACACCACAAATCACGGATAAATCTTAAGAAAGGAGGATCCCTTCTCTGTGATATCAGAAAGTGAACTAAAACAAATTAAAAACACTGAACTCATTTCACTGTCTTCCTAAAACCTGCCCTCTTCTGATACGGCAAAAATACAATTGAATGAAAGTAAACGTGCGCTGATTAATAAAATATTCACCTTAAATCGTGAAATCCCAGGGAAAACCCCACAAATCATGGATAGATCCTGAGAGAAGCAAGCTAAAGATAGATCCCTTCTGTGGGCTCACAGGAAAGGAGAATCAAAACAATACTCTTAATTATCGCCTTCTTCCTAGCTGTCCACTTTCGTCTGCTACATCCAAATCCAATTAAATAAATATAAACATGCACAGATGAACAATATACTCGATTACTAAATCGTGAAACCCCAGAAAAACACCACAAAACACGGATAAATCCTAAGATAGAAGGATCCCTTCTCTGACTGTGACTCTGTGCCACCAACAGAAAGTGAACCACTATCTTCCTAAAACCAGCTTTATTCTGATAAGGCTAAAAACCAATTAAATAAAAGTAAACGTGCGCAGATTAAACAAATACTCGCCTTAAATTATGAAATCCTATGGGGGAAAACCAATAAAGCATGGATGGAATATCCCGAGATAAGCTAAAGACAGAAGCCTTCTCTTTGAGATTACAGAAAGTAAACGTACGACAACCAAAACGTCAATTCATCGTCTTTCTAACAGCCAGCTTTTGTCTGCTACAACAAAAATCCAAATTAAATCAATACAATGTGCACAGATGAACAACATACCTTCTAAATCGTGCAAAAAAAAAAAAACCACAAATCACCTTTAAATAATCCTGAGATAGGAGGAGGTCTTCTTCTCTGCCCTAACAGAAAGTAAGAAGAGAACCAAAACAAAAACACTGAACTCGACATTACCGTCTTCCTACAGCACGTTTTCTTCTGCTATAACAGACAAAACTATAATTAAATAAATAAAAACGCGCACAGATTAAGAAAATACTCACCTAAAATCATGAAATCCCAGGAAAAAACACACACCACAAATCAGGGTTAAATCCAGAAATACAGTTCTTCTCACAGAAACAAAACAACAACAAAAACATCAAGTTAACTGACTTTCTCAGAGCCGGCTATCTTCTGCTACAGACACAATATCCATCCGCTCATGTCAACTTTCGCTATTGCATTTTAACAGTTTTACCTCATTATTAAATCATAATTTACTTACATAATATACTAATAAATGAAGATATGTACGCAGTTACGAATTCATTATTTAATTTGTTTAAGTAAACCAATTTTTAATAACTATTTCTTTTGACGTAAGGATTCTAACTACCAGCTGTTTCTTTGCGCGGGAAGATTTCAGCACAAAATAATAATAACAAAATTATTAACACACACAAAACAGAATTATTATTAATTATTTATATCTCTCATACCCTTGTTTATTTTATTAGCAATTTATAATATTTTATCTATAAACAGTAAAATATTTGTTTTTTGCTCCTGAACGTTATTATTGTCATGATGGCGGCAGTCGCAAGTCGGCGCTTGACTTATTGTTAAAAGACACAAAATATCGTTTTACTGACACTACAAGCTCATGTAATTGCATAATTAAAAACGTGGTAGAAAGTTCCTCAAGGAATGAACTTTTCTGAGCTCTTCCGACAGTCATCCCAGCTCTGTAGATTTTCCCCAGATGGAAAATACTTGGTAACTAATGTAAACTAACCGTATAATTAATTCATTACAGTACAAGTCAACATCGAGATTTTTAGCTCAAAATTCTGACATATGTATGTGTATGGGATATCTTCTTCACGTCGCTATTGACACATGAGACATTCACGAGTAATCTCCGCTGCTGCTTTTCTGCATATAAAATCCCATGCCATTTTTTCATTCCTTCATTTCCTTTTCTGCTCGACTAGACTACTGACTTTAAATCACCAAGAGTCAGAGTTTACTTAATAAATTAATACTTCTTTGCTCCAGGTTTCCACTCCACATCTCCCATTTCTCCGTCTGTCATCGACTGGAGAGCTTTTCTCACCAAAGTGTCATGAAGCATTTTCTTAACATGTCAAAACCATTTATATTTGTTCTTTGAGACATATATACCTACCTAACACATTTTAAACTCACCATATAAGTAGCCGGGAGTCGCTGTGGCATAGCGGCTAGACGTTCGAGTGCAGATTGGAAGGTGGTTTGATCACTTCTTGGCTGAACCAGACTTTAAAAAAAATGACCTTGACTCCCAGGTTGACCCAGCCTTGAGTGGGTACCGGGTGCAGTCCCAGTAAGTAAAGGCAGCCGGCGTGATGCTGACCACATCTTGTACCATTTAGTCTATAAAAATATAGGTCTAGCCCTATATGCCCTATACCCCTAAAGGCGGGGAAAAGGGTCCTTTTTATATTAGTAGCCAAAACTGAAGCAGAAAGAAACTCGGTCTCTCGCCAACTCTACCGTCTCATGTACTTTCATACTCAAATAGTTACTTATATCCTGTGTCCATCTTCGTGTCAGTTGGCCCCTGCCCCTCCTTCCTGGTACCATGCCTTCTTATTTTTTTTCTAATCCGTCGTGGCGCTTGATATGACCAAAATATTTCAGCTTCCGAGACAGGATGCCTTTTATTAGCCAATCTTCCTTGATGTTCAGATCTTTCAAGATGTCAGTATTTCTCCTTTTCTTTGTCCAAGATATTCTGAGAATCTTTCTATAACATTTCAGCTCAAAAGCCCCTATTCTTTTTCTTAAGGACTGGGAGATAGTCCATGATTCACATTCATATGTTGCTACAGTGAAGATGCATGCTCTCAGAATTCTAATTTTGATCTCCTTGCTGGTGCTTAACCATAGACTTTTAATGTTGTTTAATCTTTGGTTTACATTTACCAGGTTGTAAAGTGAACAATCTGTTGTTTGTGTCTCCTTTGCTAAAATGTAGATATTTACCAACAGGCATCTGGTGTTGATTACAGACTTGTGGTCCGAGATGTGGAGACACTTCAGATCCAGCATCTTTACTCTTGCCTGGATGCTGTCCAGTATATTGAGGTTAGTAGGCTGCAACAGTACCATACACCTGTCTGTACCCTTCTGTGATATATGAAGCTCTATGTTTCTCCTCTTCAGTGATGAAGCTCTATGTCTGTATTCTTATATGTTACATGAAACTCTGTGTTTTCTTTCCTCAGTGTTATATGAAGCGCTAGGTGAGTATTTTTCATTCTAATATGAAGCTCTATATTTGTATTCTACATTGTTATATGAAGCTGTATGTTTGTATTCTTCACTGTTAGTTAAAGCTCTATGTTTGTATTCTTCATTGTAAAATGAAGCTCTATGTTTGTATTTTTCGCTGTTATATGAAGCTCTCTGTTTGTATTCTTCACTGTTATATAAAGCTCTCTGTGTTTGTATTTTCCAATGTAATGGGAAGTTTTGTGTTTGTATTTTTGACTGTTGTATGAATTTCTATGTTTGTCATCTTCACTTTTGTATAAAGTTGTGTGTTTGTATTCTTCACTGTTTTATGAAGCTGTTTGTTTATATTTTTCACTGCTTTATGAAGCTCTCTGTTTGTTTTCTTTACTGTTAAATGAAGCTCTGTGTTTGTATTCTTTACTATTATATGTAGGGTAGGTCGGGGCAAAGACCCGCGTGGGGCAAAAACACGCAGTCCATTTAGATGTTCCGGTTGTTGTTTTTTGTGGCCGGCTTTAGCTTGGCCGACACTGGCTAGACGGTATCACGTGGGTTGCCAAAATTCATCCAAGTCCTGCTGTCACCAGCCAAGAAAATGAGGTCAGTTGCTTTTTTCAACTTTTAATGTAATACTGTGACTCTTGTCAGTGCACGTTCACACAAAAAGTTTGCAATAAAGCTGTTACTTATCTTATTCATCAAAAAGTAACACATATTAACAGTAGAAATAGACGTGACCTGTTGAGGTTATTTAGTTTTTATTGGTTAAAAGTTACGAATGTTAAATTATGATAAAATGGGGCAAAAACCCGCAGCCTGGTGGGGCAAAGACCCGCGTGCGTGTCTTTACCCCATGAATGCGTGTCTTTACCCCATGAATGCGCGGCATTGCCCACGAATGTGAGTTTTCCCCTTATCATCCTCAGTTGTTTACAATATGATTCTGTTATTTATTTCCAGGAATTACAAAAGGAAGACGAGCCAGAAACCACTCACTGAATCCTTACTGAACGAAGCCAAGAGACGGGTGTTTCTATTAGACAAGCGGCCAAAGTGATCGGTTTCCACGAGTCAACGCTACGGAACAGATTGAAGACTGGTGTTGGAGCAGAAAAGCTGGGGCGATTCCAGACTGTCTTTTCCAATGAACATGAAAAACAGTTAGTAGAACATTGTAAAGCCCTAGACCAGCGATTTTTTGGATTAACCCTCAAGTCTCTCCGGTTTCTGTTGTATTCTTATGCAGAGAAAAATAACATACCTCATCCCTTTTCCACTGCAACAAAGCTGGCTGGAAAGGATTTCACACATTCCTTTATTTAAAGAAACAGACTATCATTGCGGACACCACGAAAGACGAGCATTGCAAGGACAATGGGCTTTAATCGACTGCAACTGGACCAATACTTTGACAACCTTACGAGTGTTCTGCGCCGGTACAAGTTTACACCTGACTGTATCTACAATATGGATGAAACAGGGACTTGACCCTCTTGTCTTCTGGAGAAGAAGAGCTGGATTGTGCTTTAGAACTGCAACCTGGTGACTTTGCTGTCGTCAAGGTGCATGGAAAAGCAAAAAACTCTTTTAGGTTGTATGTGGTTAAAGTTACTGATTGTGATGATGAGGGATACGATGGTATCTTCTACAAGCGAGCGCCTCTAACTAAAAGGTTTACAGAAACAAGTGAAGAGTCCTATTTTGAAAAGGGAGACATTGTTTTGAAACTTTCGAAGCCAATTTTCAACAGTTCAACCCGATTTAAAAATATGATCAGTTTTTCAAATGACCTCAGTGATTTTTTAATTTCTTGAATAAAGAATGATTTTACAATAATTTTTTCCCAGTCTTATGTCATTAATTTTACAAATGGGGCAAAGACCCGCGGCTGCGGGTCTTTGCCCCATTGCTGGGGCAAAGACCCGCAACGTATAGATGCCCAGAAAATGCATTTATTTTGATTATTAATAAGAACACAGACTCAGTAGCCATATACATGGCGGGTAAGTGGCTAAACTATATCCACTTGAAGTTTCATAGAATACATGCGAACGGTTTTCCAGAAATTTGTAAAAAACATGAAACTGCGGGTCTTTGCCCCGACCTACCCTAGCTCTCTGTTTGTGGTTTTGACTGTTACATGAACTTCTGTGTTTGTGTTTTTCAATGTTATATGAAGCTCTGTGTTTGTATTTTTGACTGTTTTATGAATTTCTATGTTTGTCTTCTTCACTGTTAAATGAAGCTGTGTGTTTGTATTTTTGACTGTTATATGAAGTTCTCTCTTTTTTTAAAAACTGTTATATGAAGCTCTATGTATTCTTCACTGTTAAATGAAATTCTATGTTTTATTTTCCTCAGTGGTCGAGCGATTCCCAGTTCATTCTGTGTGGTATGTTCAAGAGAGGATTAGTACAGGTAACGTATTGTTAAAAACTAAAAACTCACATCCTGTAAGTAGAAATGACTGTAGTAGTTGTTTTTGTCCATACTGACAGCACATTGGCCTGACCCATTCACGCACCATCCTCCAATGCAGCAGCCATCTCAGTGTCTTCAAGCTCATCATGGGCTGTAGGAGTTGATTGGCGTATCTCCTTTCTTTACCCTGCAGCGGGTTTCTTCATGCTTGTCCTTTTTAAATACTTTTTTTTCTAGCAGGCGGTTTATCATCTCTTACTCCTTTGTCTCTGAAACTTGGAGCAAAACTAAAAGAGATGAAGCCTTATGACAGGTTTTTGAAAACAGAGTCTTACGAGGAATCTTTGGACCTATCAAAGATTTAAACAAGAGAGTGAGAAGCAACAACGAAATTCATAATCTGTTTAAATCACCATTGATCACTGGCATCATGAGAGCTAATAGACTGAAATGGTTGGGGCATATTGAAAGAATGTCAGATGACAGAGAAGTAAAAACTGTATACTCAAGGGAGATGAATGGTCGTAGACCACGAGGCAGACCAAGAAGAAGATGGAGAGATAATGTCCAGACAGACCTGCAAACACTTGGTGTCACCAACTGGAAAGAAAAGGCCAACCAGAGAGATGAATGGAGGCGGGTGATATCTGCAGCAACAAACCTCAAGGGCTCAGAATGCTGAAGAAGAAGAAGAACTCCTTTGTCTCCAGAATACAGCACATTCACTGTGTCTGCCTTGTTCGTATCTCTTTGTCTACTAACAACTGCAGACACGGCCAGTCTGTCAGCTCTTTCATTTCCTTTCACTGCAGCATCTTCCCATGTGTCCGGCCGAGATAGTTTCCTGAAGCTGGATTTCTAGATGCTGCAGACATGACCTCATTTGAGCTAATATCCAGAGTGAGATGTGAGTCGAGGTTTCAGCTTCACTGCCGATGAGTCATTCCATGACTACTCCGTTCCTGTATCAGTGACAGTTAGAAGAACAAACTGAGACAAAATGTCAGCATTTGCACACACAATACTGCATTTGTATACGCCATTCTGAAGAAAATCGGCCGTCTGTCATTTTTAGTGGAGTTCAGTACATAAAACTGTTGTTGGCACATGAAAGAAATCATTCTACATGAAATCCACAGCTCACAGTGTCTCACCAAGCACTTAGCTCAGAAGCTGGGCAATGAAAACTAATATGCAGAGGTACTAAGTAAAACACAAACTGACTAGAAAGCTCAACAGTGGGAATATAAAGGACACACACAAATTCATTGCCTTGTTTTGACAGACATAGTCTTTATCAGTGGATAAATACAACACAAACGGCGACTAGAAACTCATTGGACAAGACAGAATAGTCAAAGTTAGCTGGATTCAGAAGTATTCAATAGGAGTAAATATGGACAGAGGAACTATATTGTAGACTGAAACAAATAAATTGTCTGAAAAATGTGGGAGAAATAAAGTAAAGTAAAGGACCCTTTTCCACGCCTTTAGGCGTTTAAGGCATATAGGGCTTGACCCATATTTTATAGACCAATTGGCACAAGATGGGTGATGTGGTCAGCATCCTGCCAGCCGCCTTTACTTCCCAGGACTGCACCGGGTACCCACTCAAGGCTGGGTCAACCTGGGAGCCAAATCGCCGGCTCCGCTGGTAAATACAAAATTAAATAAATGTATGTTGAATATTGATTTCTGCAGGACTGAGAACATCAAAAATATGAATGAAGTGATTTTCCAAAGGGTGGGCTGTTTGATCACAGGAGCCAGATTTTGTGACAGTACCTGGGATGTTAATTTTACCTTCATGGTCAGAACTGTTAAATTGGAAGAAGACTGGTTTTGCTTATCATTTGCATAAACATGTTATGGATGCTGACAGTGTAGCTCTTAGATAGTCTTCCTTCACTGATTGCCTAATCTAGTTAAAGTCTGACTGATTGATGATCCTAATAAAAACCTGATTGATTGTTCATTCTAGTCAAAGTTAATAACTGTTGAGATAGGAATTGATATCATAGCACTGGAACTTCCACATAAGCACTCCATCCTCATCTTCAGCAGCCAGCGAAGAGTTCCAAGTCCAATGGCGCTAGTAGCAGTCTGATTATATGTCTGTCTTGCCTTTCCAGTGAGTGTAGATTGTTGACCAGATCCCCTGGTCACTCCTAGCTGTACCATTCTCTCCAGACCGTAAGGATCTGTACATGCCTCAACATAGGTCACTTGCTCCTAAAGGGCCTTGACCACATCTAGCTTGTCAAGCATGAATTCATCTCTGGGACTCTGAATTATTGACACTCAATGTGTCAACATCCATCCCGAACCTGGGAAACAAAGATGCTGAGCCCGCTTTAGTGAAGAAAGCACTCACAATGGAACACCTCAACAACATGTTCCCACAGGACAGCTGGACGAGAATCTACACGGATGGATCAGCAAAAGAGGCAACTACGAATGGTGGGGCAGGTTATTACATAAAACCCCAGATGCCATACTGTGATAGACTAGCAGGTGGCACCGGACGAACTTGCTCTAACTACAAGGCAGAACTCTCAGCTCTATTGATGGCAGCACAGTATATGAACAATCTGCAAATTACCGCAGGCAGGATAGTTTTTTCTCACTGACTCACTGTCAGCTGTACAGGCCCTTGAGTCCAAACCTATCGACAGCACACTACAAGTCTAACACAGGAACTTGCTATGTTGTCAAATAAGGCAGAAATTCACTTGCTAGTGGATTAACCGTCTCACTGTGGCATCAAAGGCAATGAAAGCGCAGATGCTTTAGCCAAGGAAGGCAGTAACAAACCACAGACCTACCAGCCACTATCTTTTCCAGAAGTCAAAACTCTCATTAAGAGAAAATCAGAAACAGATTGGAAAACCAACACTGGTTATAACTACAGAAAAGATTTTCTGAAACACTTGAACAGAACAGACCAAGTCACAGTTTTTCGCTTATGCACTGGACACTGCAGACTCAATAAACACTCACATAAATTAGGTATGAGCCAAACAGCTCTCTGCCAGTGCCTTCAAGCTGAACAGACTCCAGAACATGTCCTGCAAGACTGTCCTCTCCTGGCGGAGCTGCAGAGCGACATGTGGCAACACCCAGTAGAACTGACAACTAAGCTTTGGGGAAACCTAAGAGACCCTGAAAAGACATCCCAGTTTATGACCCACAGTGGATTATGCGCATGACCAGAGATCGCTGAAGAAGAAGAAGAAAGCATAAATTCACACCCACTGATGCAGAACCAGCCACTCTATCTGCCTGTTCATCAAAGTTAATCTGTCTGTCAGTAAAACAGTAACATGGCAACAGACACAGACTTTCCCTGGGGCATGCTTTCTCTGTGACTTGATGAGTATGCTCAGGAAGATAGAGAAGGGCTGGGTCCGAAGGCAGTGTTTGGTGGCTCTACAGCGTTCACGGCTGGCAAGGATTAGTTTCATTTTCATGCCAGGACATGTGGGGGTACAAGGAAATGAACAAGCTGATAGGCTTGGAGGTAAGGCTACTTTGAAAGCCGGGCAAGCCATGGACCAGGCTGATATACTGAATGCTCTGAGAGAGTTAAGACATTTGTGTGAACCAACTGAGAACAGTGAATCTGCAACCATGGTCAGACTGCAAGAACAACATGTTAAACGGGGCGTCGCCAAACAAGAACACTAAGCGGGTAGTCAAAGAAGAATAATAAACCAACACAGAACTGGAGTCGTTAGCCGCTTCACACTGCAGGATTTACTGAGGAGGTGATCCGAACCCTTGTGGAATGAGTGATTCGACGTGCAGTGAGAATAATCTGTTGACTAACTAACTAACTAACTAACTAACTAATCTGTCAGTCATTTCATGTTTTGATTAGGCAATTTTTAAACAAAAAAAGTGCATGGCAAATCTAGTAGAAGTGTATTCATTTTTATGTTTGTGTGTCTGCTTTAGGTTTGGTCGCTGGAGATCCCAGACTGGAACTGCAAAATAGACGAGGGATCTGCTGGCTTGTGTCATGTGACTTGGAGTCCAGATAGTAGGCATATCTTAACAACTGCAGACTTTCATGTGAGTGTTAGCAACAATGCTAATTCTTACGTGGTGATACTAGCAATAGATAATTTGAGGCAATCCACAGATTAATGTATCCGAAATAAGATGGTACTATCCACAAATGGATTAGCTGAATCTCTACATAAGGATGGAGTGGGGAAAGTTAACTGAATCTCTACATGGTGATGGAGTGGGGAAAGTTAACTGAATCTCTACATGTTGATGGAGTGGGGAAAGTTAACTGAATCTCTACATGGTGATAGAGTGGGGAAAGTTAACTGAATCTCTACATGGGAATGGAGTGGGAAAGTTAACTGAATCTCTACATAAGGATGGAGTGGGGAAAGTTAACTGAATCTCTACATGGGGATGGAAGTGGGGGGGGGGGGGGGGGATAAGATGAGTCTCTGGTGGGAGAGGGGGGAGTGTGACATAAAATTATCAACAGATTGGTGTCTGGGAATAAGATGACACTATCCACAAATGGATATATAGAGGAATAAGCTTAAATCTTTACATTGATTGGAGAAATGGGGTGGGGGAGGATGAGATCATCTACATCTTCTTTTTCTTCTTAACGTCACGGTCTGTAAACTTTGCTGGTTGTTCATGAAATTCTGGACTTTGATCTTGTTCCAGAACTTGAGTTTAGCATGCATAACTGTTTTACAAATCTGGCTTATTTGTACAGCAGACTGTTGGTTCTGTGCCTCTCAGGCAGATGCACTCTGACTTAGAAGGAAACACCACTTATTAGTCGCCTTGTATGACATGCTTGTTCCCCGTGTGGGTTCCGGGGCCCCCATTGTGGGAAAACCAAGAATAGACCCACTGCCTTCCCAACAAGCATGTCGTAAGAGTTGACTAATTGGGGGCTTCCTTCAAAGTTAGAGTGCATCTTCTGAGAGGCAAGGAATCTAGAGTCTGCATACAAATAAGCAAGGCTGTAAAACATACACACGCAAAACTCAGGTCCTGTAACAAAGCCACATTTCAGAACTGGATGAACAACCAAGTCTTTCTCCGGGGGTAAACACAAGCAACAACATGACCTGCTTGTTGGGGGAAAGGGGGAGGGGGTGTCACTGGGTCTGTTTTCCACTTGAAATTGGGCCTTGAAATCCACACCACACAGGGATTTGTGGAGAGTAAATTCACAGTATGTTGATCATGTTTCAGCTACGGATCACAGTGTGGTCACTAGTGACCAAGTCGGTCTCTTACATCAGGTATCCCAAACAGTGTTCCAAAGGTGAGTTGCACATATGGCTTTGTTGGATGGCTTGTTACTTTGTTGGTTGATTGACTGGTTTGTTAGTTAGCTTGTTGAATAGGATGTTTTGTTACCACAATTGACATCACCGCGCTCTGGGCATTCCCATGCATGCTCAGTCCTCCAATGCAGCAGCTACTCCAGGGTACCTTTCCTGACTGTTCCTATAAGGAGTTGGTTATAATGTCTCTTTTCTGGGCCTCGAAGATGACATATACGTGCTTTACTTCCAGATCACGCAGTTATGTTAGTGTCAGCAATTCGTCATTATTTACGAGCCCAGACTGTACCGAGTTGATATCTGCTCTCTCCGTGCTTCTTCTCGCATGCATTTGTACATTACTTGCCAGTTGGTCCGCTTGTTCGTTACCTTTCACGCCGGCATGACCAGGTGTGTAGATCCAGGTGAGGGAGAAGTTTGTTGAAAGATTATTCATTGGATGGTTGGTTAGTAATTTAATTGGTTGATTGGTTGGATTGTTGCTAGTTGGCTGGAAAGCCAACATGGGAGACATCTACACAAGACCGTTCTTGATGGCGCATATCCCTCAGGTGTGTGCATCGGCCTGTCAGGCAGCGGAGGTTCCACAGGCAGAGACACGGAGGCAGACTGGAAAGAATCATATCGCTAATCCCACACTTACTGCGCATCCACTTTCATCCGCACTTCTCAAGAATTTTCCAGGCTCATATTGGACTTTTTTCAAAAATGACCTTGACTCCGAGATCGACCCAGCCTTGAGTGGGTACCGGGTACAGTCCTGGGAAGTAAAGGCGGCCGGCATGATGCTGACCACATCACCCATCTTGTGCCGATTGGCCCATAAAAATGTAGATCTAGCCCAATATACCCTATACGTTTCAAACTATTCGGAACTGACGCAATAAGAGGATGTGTATTCCTCTCCTTCTGGAGAAAATGTGAGTATCATGGGACAGACACAAGTCACCTGAACAACTTGAGCCTCTGAGAACAAGCTCCTGTTGTCAGGTTAACTGGGAAAGGTGACATTTGCTTTGGTGGAACTACTTTTTGCCTCTCTTTAAATGCCTTTGCAGGAATGGATTTTAGCAGAGGGGGCAAGTACATGGCATTAGCTGAACGTCGGGACTGCAAGGATCATATTAGCATCTTCTCTACTCAGTCTTGGTCACTAGTCAGGGTAAGTCAGTGTCTTTTTTTTCCCAGCCATTGTTACTGATTAGATCAGGGCAGATTCATCATCATCAAGTGCCTTGGCCTTCTCTTTTACCAGTTGCTGACTGCTAGGTGTTGTAGGTCGGCCTGTGTATTATCTGTCCACTTTCTTCTTGGTCTGCCTCGTGGTCTACGCCCATTCAACTCTTCTCTCTGTCTGTCTCATTCTCTCTCATTCTCTGACTCTCATTCTTTCTCTCTCTCTCTCTCTCTCTCTCTCTCTCTCTCTCTTTATCTCTCTCTCTCTCTCTCTCTCTCTCTCTCTCCCTCCCTCCCTCCCTCATTCTCTCTCTGAGTTTTAACTAACTTTCCTTGTTCATTTTTTCTATGTTCTCTTGCTATCCCCCCCCCCCCCCCCCCCATTTTTAGCTATAATCCCCCCGCCCCACTTTTTAAGTTGTAAATGTTTATTTCCATCATGTTTTTAACTGTAACATTTTTCCACTTCCTGTTTGTAACTAAAATTTTCTACCTCCTGTTTGTAATTATGTTTTTCCACCTCCTGTTTGTAAACATAATGTTTTTCCACCTTCTGTTTGTGACTGATATTTTCCCACCTTCTGTTCTAATTGTGACATTTTGCAGCCTACTGTGTTTAATAATAGCATTTTTCCCACTTCCTGTTTGTAAATATAATGTTTTTCCACCTCCTTGTTTTCCACCTCCAGTTTGTAACTATAACATTTTTCCACCTCCTCTTTTTTTAATTTGATGTTTTTCCACCTCCTGTTTGTAACTTTAATGGTTTCACCTCCTGTTTGTAACTATAATGTTTTCCCACCTCCCTTATGTAACTATAATGGTTTTCCACATCCGGTTTGTAATTATGGTTTTCCACATCCGGTTTGTAATTATGTTTTTCCACCTCCTGTTTGTAACTATAATTTGTTCCACCTTCTGTTTGTAACTATATTTTTCCACCTCCTGTTTATAACTGTAATGTTTTTCTACTTCCTGTATGTAACTATAAAGTTTTTCCACCTCATGTTTGTAACTGTAATTTTTCCACCTCCTGTTTGTAACCATGCTATTTTCTTCTTCTTTTTTAATTTTCTCACTATTTGTAACAATACTTTTCCCTCCTAGTAACTACAGCTTTCCATTTACCACTATCCTTCCTCATTTTGCACCATAACTCTGTACATATGTATATTTATATTTTTATTATAAATGTATAATTTCCTTCCTTTAAAAAAAAAAAATCTTTTGTAATGATATAAGATTTGATTTCTTTGTCCCTAGATTTGACTAACTTTTTGTTTTCTTCCATGATTATGACTATAATTATAGTTCTTCTTGTGACTGTAACTTTCCGTTTTGTCTTGCGGTATTTTTAATGTGAAACGTTTTTGAACTTTCTGTTTGTTTTATAGTAATAGATGTCTAATTGATGAGATAGATGGTGATGTTATTGATATGATGTGAGAGTGTTAGCTGAATTGGATGTTCCGGATTAGGTGGGGGCTGCACTATATTTGATTGTGGGAGGAGTGAGTTTGAGAATGGAGGAAGACTAAGTGTAGAGCTGTGGGAACGCTGGACTCTTGTGCTTGGGGAAGGATATTCTTACTGTGATCCAGGGTCCTGTGGTCTGTGTGGATTGAGTTGAGGTGAACTCTTGTGCTGTCAGAAGGTTACGGTGGGGGGGGGGGGGGGGGGGGGGGGGGCTCTTGTGGATAAAAGTAACGTTGATCTCCCCACGCCCCACCTATATACACATTAGCTCACTTCTGATTGGTAGTTCCTGAACCTGTCACCTTAGCACAAGGTTACTGGGGTGTCCCAAAATGCTGGTAATATTGAGTGTTGTATATTTCAGCACACCAGGGCTTTTAACACTCCAAAAACATGGAGAAACTGGTCCCAACACAACCCCCCTAGATATTGCTGCAACCTATGTCACAGGCATTCTCTTTCTTGGAATGTATACGTAAATGCAAGACAAGACAGAAAGCAGAGCGGGACACACCCGTAACCTTCAGGAAAGTCGACCAGCCAAGTGAAACTCAAGTGCTTCTCAGGGGGACAGGGTTAACCTCTATGTCTTTTGGGTTAGTTCAATGTTTGTCTCCCTATTTACTCACTCTTACACACTAGCTCACTTCTGATTGGTCGACCTTGAGCCACGCTACATTCCTTAAAGTGACAGGGGTTTTCCAAAATACTGTTGATATCTCGTGTTCTATATTTCAACACAGCAGCACTTTTAACACTCCAAAAACATCGACAAACTGGGTCTAACATAAACCCCCTAGAGAGTGCTCAAACTTATGTCACAGGCATTCTTTTTCTTGGAATGAAAACGTTAATGCAAATCTTCAAGGAAACCAAACAAGAAAGCGGGACACACCCGTAACTTCCACGAAAGTGGACCAGTCCAAAAAAGTTATCAATGGATTGTGACCTACGTTGTTTAGGGGGGACTAATGCCGAACTAGATATATTTGGTTTCACAGCACTTCAAATATGACCTACTTTGTTTGAGGGGACTAACTTCGAATTAGATGTATTTTGTTTCACAGCACTTTGAATATAACCTACTTTGAGGGTACTAACGTCGAACTAAATGTATTTTGTTTCACAGCACTTCGAATGTGACCTACTTTGTTCGTGGGGTCTAATGTTTGTTTAACCGTATTTTGTTTCACAGCACTTTGAATGTGACACAGAGGACCTTGCTGGCTTGGAGTGGTCGCCAGATGCCCGGGTTTTAGGTGTCTGGGACTCCTGTCTAACCGTATGTTTGTTTTCCATCCTCCTCATCTGGTGCCTTGTCAGCTGGTTTGGAGTTGTTGCCAGATGCCCGGGTTTTAGATGTCTGGGACTCCTGTCTAACCATAAGTTTGTTTTCCATCCTCCTCATCTGGTGCCTTGTCAGCTGGCACCTTGTCAGCTGGCTTGGAGTGGTCGCCAGATGCCTGGGTTTTAGATGTCTGGGACTCCTGTCTAACCGTAAGTTTGTTTTCCATCCTCCTCATCTGGTGCCTTGTCAGCTGGCACCTTGTCAGCTGGCTTGGAGTGGTCGCCAGATGCCTGGGTTTTAGATGTCTGGGACTCCTGTCTAACCGTAAGTTTGTTTTCCATCCTCCTCATCTGGTGCCTTGTCAGCTGGCTTGACCAGTCAGGTCTCTGCACAGTGTCAATTCATAACATTGTTGCTGTTGCTTAACATCTTTCCTTTTTCTGATTCAGGCCTTTTTTGTACCTTTTTCCTGTATCTAATTTTCCAAGTTGTCACAATGCAGAATTAAACACTTATATATTTATAAAGTAACAGAAAATTAATTGATCGCCACTCATAGAAAGAAGTAGAAAGATAGAACTCACTAGAAAAAGTTAAAGTCGGGAGATGTGAACCAGCGTCACTGCACAGGGTTATAAACCATAAGGGCTCTGCCACCAGTACAGACAGATGATAAGAAACTGTCCGCCTGTGTCGCCGTCCGCACGTAACTCTGTAGCTACAACGATGTTCCTCCATTTACCCCAGAGTGTTAACTCTGGTACCCATTTCCTAGAGGCTGGGTGAACCCCGGGAACCGCCCGGTTTCGAACACCGACCATGGCTGCGAGTCGCAGCTGGATTTGAAATCAGCACAGATCTCAATTTTTTTTTCTCCAGAAATGACTATGGTTCCCAGATTGACCCAGCCTTGAATGGATAGCAGGTAAAGTCCTGGGAAGTAAAGGCGGCTGCCATGATGCTGACCTCACCCACCAAGTGCCAATTGGTCAATAAAATACAGATCTTGCACTATATGCCCATTATGCCTAAAGCCATACAAAGGGATCCATTACTTTTCTTTGGTATTTTCTGCATGTTGAACTTGGCCAGTTCAGATTGTCCATTTTATAAATATCCAGAAAAGATATCAAACCGAACGAAAAGTATATTAGTAAGCTTCACAAATAACAAATACAAACAAAACATGAACGTTGCGGCTATGGAGCCTTCATCAGCACATACAAAAACTAAACAATACCACACAAATACACAAAATCACTTAGCTGGTATCTCGAAGCAGCCAGGTCGATGACTTCTCAGCAGACTGCCGACGCACGTGGGCCAGCGGATTAAATACCCCCTGTGGAGTACCAGGGGCCATTTTATAAAGCTGGGTCAGGAAAAAGACCTGTGACTTATGGGCATGAAACGAGAACCACTAACTTGCCAGGAAAGAAAATTAACTGCTATTCCACATTGGCTTTTGTGGGTAAGTGAAAAGTAAAGGACCATTTTCCATGCCTTTTAGGCGTATTGGGTTTATAGGGCTAGATCTAGACCAAACAGCACTTGGTGGGGAATGGTCAGCATCATGCCGGCCGCCTTTACTTCCCAGGACTGCACCTGGTACCCTTTCAAGGCTGGATTGACCTGGGAGCCAAGGTCATTTTTTTTTAAAATCCAGCTCTTGTCAGGAACCAAACCCACAACCTTATTTTACCCCCTCCAGTGCATGCCTGCCATATTGTCCTAATCACTGTAATGTCTTGATCATGTTGTTCTTTCCATTGTCATGTTTATGTCTGGCATACTGTCCCCTCCAATGCAATGTCACTGTCTGGCATGGTAAACCCTTCAGTGAAGTTTCACTGTCTGCAGTATTGTCCCTCTAGTGCACCGTCACTGTCTGCAGTATTGTCCCTCTAGTGCACCGTCACTGTCTGCAGTATTGTCCCTCTAGTGCACCGTCACTGTCTGCAGTATTGTCCCTCTAGTGCACCGTCACTGTCTGCAGTATTGTCCCTCTAGTGCACCGTCACTGTCTGCAGTATTGTCCCTCTAGTGCACCGTCACTGTCTGCAGTATTGTCCCTCTAGTGCACCATCACTGTCTGCAGTATTGTCCCTCTAGTGCACCATCACTGTCTGCAGTATTGTCCCTCTAGTGCACCGTCACTGTCTGCAGTATTGTCCCTCTAGTGCACCGTCACTGTCTGCAGTATTGTCCCTCTAGTGCACCGTCACTGTCTATTATCGTGTCCCCTCCAGTTCATTGTCTGTCTCTCATATTGCCCAATGAAATACATCATCATGTAGCAGGTCCTTTGCAGAACTTCGCTCTCATCACAGTCTGCCTGAAAGAAACTCGGTCTCTTGTCAGCTCTCCTGCCTCGTGTACTTTCATACTCAAGAAGGAGTCACTTATATCCTGGGCCAATCTTCGTGTTGGTGGCCCCTGCCCCTCCTTCCTGATACCATTCCTTCTGCTATTATTTTTTCCAATCAGTCGTGGCGCTTGATATGACCAAAATATTTCAGCTTTCGAGACAGGATGCTGTTTATTAGCCAGTCTTCCTTGATGTTCAGATCAATAAAACACAGTATTTAATTTTCATTATTGCCTCCTACATGCTATGCCTTTTTTAAAAAATTGTTTATGTTTTCCTTCTACAGTACAAAGTGCTTCTCTACTCACTGGACGGACGATGCCTGGCTCACTTCAGTGCCTACAACCTTGCCCTTGGAGTAAAGTCCCTGACCTGGTCCCCATCCAGTCAGTTTCTAGCCATTGGAAGCTATGATGAAAAGGTCAGCTTTAACTCCGCCTTTCTCTTTTGTAGGGTTTATCTGATGAGTTTTGGTAGGAAAATCAGACTTAACTCTTTAAAAGAAGGAACAAGTGAACTTTATTTTTGAAAAGGGTCTAAGATGTGCAGACTTGTCTTACAATCTGCCCCATTTATGTCGATGAAATAACGTAACAATGTAATAATATGAAGAGCAAGAAAAAACACAAAAGTGTGGTTGATAAAGGCATACGAAAGACTAAACCTGAGAGTATCAACTTCATTTCACAAGGTTATGTCCCATGTGATACAATCACTCTGAGCAGAGAGGCTGAGAACGTTGCACTAAACATGAAAAACTGGTCATATTTCCAATCAGTTGAGTCAAATTGTGCTCATTTGAGTTAGCCCTATCACCCTGGTGACCAAGAAAGAACAAAGCCAGTAGCCCGAATTTTGAGAATTCCCAGGGTGAAAATCCTTTGAAAAACAGGTTACACAAAAATCCTAACAATTCATTTCTGAACCAAAACCATATTAACTCTTTCACCACCACATAACCAACACTTTACTATTTCCTCCAAGAGCCAAAATCCTAAATTGCCAAAGAGGCATGTTGATGAGACGTCTGTTTAACAAAATTTATTGCATCTACGTCTGCTCAAAGGTTTAGCTTGACTAAATTTACTAAAGATGTCATGGGGGAGTTTATTTAAAGAAATTCCTTTGTTTTATTTTTCCCATTGTCTGAAGTGGTGACCAGGTCACAGCATCAAGCAAATGTCATTCTATAATTAGTTTACAGGCCCCAAGAAATGTAAGCTAGTTTAGTCTGTGCTGCATTAGCTGTTTTCGATTACTCTCATTACTTTATACAAATTTGCTGATGTTTTTGGATGATAAATTAATTTTGTCCTATTTTTTGTGACATGTGTAAATTGGTTGCCTATCAAGGATTTTTTAGGGAATTTCCGAAAAATTTAAACTATTGGAGTTTGGCTTTTTTTTTTTTTTTTTAAGATCAGCAAGATGAATATTATGTCCATGTTATTATAATACTCATTTTAACTGTCTTAGGCTCGCCTGCTAAAGATTGAATTTATAATGTGTCTTTTAGACAGGAAATATAATGTTATATTCTCGTTATTATAATACTCATTTTGACTGTCTTAGGTTCGCCTGCTAAAGATTGAATTTATAATGTGTCTTTTAGACAGGAAATATAATGTTATATTCTCGTTATTATAATACTCATTTTGACTGTCTCTTAGGTTTGCCTACTAAAGATTGAATTTATAATGTGTCTTTTAGACAGGAAATATAATGTTATATTCTCGTTATTATAATACTCATTTTAACTGTCTTAGGTTCGCCTGCTAAAGATTGAATTTATAATGTGTCTTTTAGACAGGAAATATAATGTTATATTCTCGTTATTATAATACTCATTTTGACTGTCTCTTAGGTTTGCCTACTAAAGATTGAATTTATAATGTGTCTTTTAGACAGGAAATATAATGTTATATTCTCGTTATTATAATACTCATTTTAACTGTCTTAGGTTCGCCTGCTAAAGATTGCATTGTATTTAATATTTATCTTTTAGACTGGAAATATAATGTTATAAAACTAATGTTCTTCTTCTTCTTAAAGTACATGCCGTATGTGGTTGATAGTCATGTCTATTTACAACTTTCTATCTCGCGTACTTTCAGTCAACTCTGTCACTGATGATCCTCCTGCCATGATGTCAGACTGTCCAGCATCTTTTCTTTTGGTCTTCCTCTGCTTCTCTTCTGACTTTCCTACTGTCACGATGTACTCCAGTTTTCTCCTTCTCAATACATGACCAAAGAATGTAGATTGTCTCTTTCTGATGTTGACAATCAGTTCTCTTTGTGAGTCAGTTTCTTTCAAGACATCTTCATTACTCTTTTTTATCTGTCCAAGATATTCTCATCATTCGTCTATAAAACCATATCTCTGCAGCTTCCTATTAATTTTTCATTAATCTACTGACTGCCCATGATTCACTTCCATTTATCAAGATAGACTTTATATGGCTTTTAGGAATTCTCTTTCTTATCTCTATTGACAAAGAAATATTGCATAATATTCTCCTTTTTGTCAAATGTGGCCTATGCTTGAACTATTCTACATTTAACTTCTTTAATACATCTTCCATCTGATGTTATCAGGGTACCCAATCAAGTACTTTAACCTATCAAATTGCTTGAGGTTTGTTCCATTAACTTTGATGATGCATTTTGGAGGGTCACTTTTCTTTGTAATTACCATTACCTCTGTATTTCTGCTGTTCAGACAAAGACCCTTGTTCTCAATTTCTTGCAGTTGTATTTCATTTTCAGTGATCTAAACTATATCGTCAGCATATCGCAGGTTGTTAACAATCTGGGTAAAAAAAAAATAATGTTATGTTTATAATATTATACCCCCATGTGGGTTCCGGGGGCCCTGTTATAGAGAAAGCAAGAATAGACCCACTGCCTACCCAAAAGCATGTAGTAAGAGTCAATTAATTGGGAGCTTCCTTTGAAGTCGGAGTACATCTGCCTGAGAGGCAAGGAACCAGTAGTCTGCATACAAATGAGTCAGATCTGTAAAACTGATGCACACGCAACACTCAGGTTCTGGAACAGGACGGAAGTCCAGAAGTGGATGAACAACCAGTACTTTCCGCCAGAGTTTACAGCTGGTGAATGCAAAGAAGAAGAAGAAAATAATATTATAATACTTATTTTGACGGTCCCACAGGTTCGCCTGCTGAACCACGTTACATGGAAAACCATTGCCGTGTTTAACCATTCTGAGGTCATCGATGGAACAAATGTGGTAAGCTAGCCATAATTCTGCTCATGTGACACTCCTTCAAACATCATCATCATTTAGCATGTCATTTATAAAACGTCGCTCTCGTCACAGCCTGCCTGAAAGAAACTCAGGCTTTCGCTAGCTCTCCCCCTTCGTGCATATTGCTACCCATATCTTTTGCCCTTCTTCGTGGTAGTCAGTCCCTGCCTCTCTTACCAAGTGCCATACCCTCCGCTACTGTTCTTTCTAGTCCATCATAACATGTCTTCTTCTGTTTTTCTAACCCCCAATGGAGTATAGGCCCTCAACTAACTCACGCCAAGTTGTTCTATCCTTCCCTATCGCATTCATCCGTCCTCATTTCCTCTCCATCTTTTTAACTTCACTCTCTAGCTCCCTTCTCCATGTGTGTGTTTTGTTTTCTTGTTTTTTTTTTCCTGTGCCCCTGTGGGTTCCAGTGCAAAGACATTCTAGTTATATTGTTCTCAGGTTTTCTCAGCGTGTGTGTACCAGCATCTTTTCTTCACCTCTTGATCCAGTGGAACTTGTTTAGTTCTCTCCCAAAGCTCTACAATAGTGATTCTGTCATACAGTTTAATTCCCTCTATTCTGTACAGGCACCAGTTAATATGGCAAAATTATTTCAATTTCAGAGACAAGATTCTTTTAACAGCAAATTTGCCTTACTGTTCGGATCTTATCGGACATCAATATTTGTTTCTTGGTCCATGGTGATCTGAGAATATTTCTATAGCATTTCTTCTCAAGTCCTGTTTTCTTCTGAAATTATATATCCACATATATCTCAAAAGCCAGTGCTACCCATCTAGCACTGCATCACAGGCAGTTACTCTACCTTACGCTTGATAACAAAAGTGAAGACTGATAATTATTATTACAGTTAACTAGTCAATTTTTCAGCCCTGTTTGCTTTCATAACCAGCGCATCCTTACAGTCCTGTATCCACAAGGACAGGATGCTGTTTATGAGGCAGTTTTCCTCAGTGTTCAGATCATGTCGAAAGTCAGTTATTTTATTCTTCTTGGTTCCCCCTCCTAGACTGCTCTAAAAACTGGTCATTTAGACCACAACAAGCTCCAGCAATAAGGCCAAATGGAAATTCCCGTTCTGTTAGGCTGGTCCAGGGCCTGTCTGTGCTCACATTGTTATCAAGTAAATGTATACACTCATTAAACTAAAGTTTAATTAACTTGCAACATATCTTATTGAATATTTTATTATTATTATTATTATATTTTCTAATGGCTCACTTTTTTGTCTTCATAATGCTTATTCATTCTTATTCTTCTTCTTTGTTTTCGTTTTTGTAGTGCTCAGATCAGACCATCAGGTGGGTTGCCTCTATGAACTTGCACACACATATATATATATATATATATATTCATTCAGTAAAATAGGTTGCAAGTTAATTAAACTGTAGTTTTATGTGTGCATACATTTACTCGACAACAATGATGAGCACAGATCGGCATCCAACTGGCCTAACAGAACGGGAATTTCCATAGACCTGTTTGGCCTTATTGCAGGAGCTGGCCATGATCAGACAAGAAAGCTTTTTTTTTCTGTTATTTTTTTAACTGCCAGGTATTTGTCAGCTTTAAATCATCTGTCTTCCTTTAGGTTGTCTACAAAGAGCTACAGAGCCGAACCCCGACTGCTCCATCTGGCATAGCTAAGACTCCGATAGCAAGCTTATTTACACCTCAGAGTAAATGTAAGTGCAAGTGATGAAAGTGAGAAAAACTGCTCTTCTGTGATTATTTGATTGTCTAATTGATTGATTCTCTCATTGTTTGATTGTTTCATTAACTGATTTTCATTAACTGATTATCACAGTGTTTAATTGCATTATTGTTTGGTTGTATCATTGTTTGATTGTTACATTAATTGAATTGTCTCATTGATTGTCTCATTGTTTGATTGTCACATTAATTGAATTGTCTCATTGTTTGATTGTCACATTAATGATTGTCTCATTGATTGTCTCATTGTTTGATTGTCACATTAATTGAATTGTCTCATTGTTTGATTGTCACATTAATTGAATTGTCTCATTGTTTGATTGTCACATTAATTGAATTGTCTCATTGTTTGATTGTCACATTAATTGAATTGTCTCATTGTTTGATTGTCACATTAATTGAATTGTCTCATTGTTTGATTGTCACATTAATTGAATTGTCTCATTGTTTGATTGTCACATTAATTGAATTGTCTCATTGATTGTCTCATTGTTTGATTGTCACATTAATTGAATTGTCTCATTGATTGTCTCATTGTTTGATTGTCACATTAATTGAATTGTCTCATTGTTTGATTGTCACATTAATTGAATTGTCTCATTGATTGTCTTATTGTTTGATTGTCACATTAATTGAATTTTCTCATTGATTGTCTCATTGTTTGATTGTCACATTAATGATTGTCTCATTGATTGTCTCATTGTTTGATTGTCACATTAATTGAATTGTCTCATTGTTTGATTGTCACATTAATTGAATTGTCTCATTGTTTGATTGTCACATTAATTGAATTGTCTCATTGATTGTCTCATTGTTTGATTGTCACATTAATTGAATTGCCTCATTAGTTGATTACTTCATTGTTTTATTGTTTATCTCATTAGATAAACGCCCAAATCTCTTCTACAGAGCGACTCTCCTACCACTGCCAGAAAGCCACAATTGTTTTTGTTTTCCTAAATGACACACCAGTGTTGAGAATTGCTTTATTGTCTTAACTGTGATTGGAACAGGCCAGACTGCGTCTCTGTTAGCTGCATACAGTTGACAGTGTTAGAGTGTATGCTCAACAATGATTTGGGGGCCACTTGCCATGCTTTTGTGGGCCAGATTTGGCCACAGGCTGCCATTTAAATGTCCCTCCTGTATGGTATTGGTAATAACATGTCTATAGTTATAGGTTTATATATATAACACTGCTATAGTTAGCTGTCGACACAATGCAGCCAGCTTGCATTGTATAAAGTGTACAATGTTTATTAGTGTATCCATTTTAATATAAATCGGGGGTCTCCATGATGAAGTGGCCAAGCTATTTACTTCATGCTCTGAAGTCCACAGGTTAATTTCACAGTGGCGTCATTTAGTTCATGAGTGCAGTTTTTACAAAGATCCCTAGGGATCATTAGCGACTACGGTGTTCGAAAATTTGCGGTCTTTTTGGCAATTTCCATTACCATGGAAACCGTTTGAAACTTGTTTGGGAAATGTCGGCTGGGGTTTCGGGATGGGTCCTAATCTCTCATTAAATTTTGCGATTGGTGTGATTTTCACCAGCTATAAATAGCTGACAAAGCGGAAACGAACCCGATTAACAGCGCATGTCTAAACAGCCGGACGTCCTCTGTTTTTCTGTTACATCCGTTTGATTGAAATAGCGGTAAGTATTCAGGGTTGGCTTTAGGCCTTAGACATTACCAGATGTGGTAATGCTAGTTATAATTGAATTCTCCGTCCAATTTTACATTTGTATATAAATTTCTTTCCTAGGTATGGCTAATTCGATTTACAGTGACATTTTTCAGGCAATCGCTATTATGTGGCTGTGTCTGAGAACAATTGTCTGCCATCTTGTCCAGTGTAAAGAAAGCCAAAACAGAAGTGCGCAGTTTGGTTGCGCAGAGAAAACTTCTTGTTTCTGGGACGCAAGTTTTCGACAGCTGTTTTTTACATCTCATCTCCACAAAAACCTACATATCTCAGCTAAGAAATGACATACAAGCCTAAATGAGGTACCGGTGTACTGGTTTTATTGGTGTAGAGGGCATTTTAAAAATTTGACCAAAGTATCTAGGATCATCACCGGAACTGTGGAGTTCTTGCTTTCTGTGACACTCTCGGAATGGGTCTAGCCGTTTTGAGGAGAGAGACCAAGCAATAATGGGATCAGAATCCAGTGCTAAAAAGTTGATCCTTCCACCTTTGACTTGTATTGTAAATCATATTTGATGCAGCTGTTGCTCCGTGCCATGATGTCAAACTGTTTAATATCTTCTCTTATGGTCTCCCTCTGCCTCTACCCTCCCCCTTCCCTCCACCAGACACTTTCATGCTGTCACAACAGTCTCTAGTTTTCTCATTCGTATACGTTACTGATAGAAGAATCAACATCATAGCAGACCAGTCATACACAAAGAGGCTCCAACAGCAAATGTCTTCAGGTGTAGGTGTTAGCTTTTCTGGTAGCACACTGATTATATAACATCGTTCTTTTCCTCTGAATCATCCCTCATTACCAGATCCTCTTTACACTTCCGGTCAAAATGGACGTTAGGCAGCGGCGCTGTTCAAAACAGAGGCAAATGTTTTGCTTCTGCCGGACGGTGGCTGATGCATTTTTGCTCCATTTGTAGACTGGATATAGTTTCATCGCCCAGCTTCTGAGTTGAATGCATGGCGTGAAGCTGTGAGCTGCAGATTGCATTTGGAATGTTTTTCGACTGTGACCATCGTGTTGGTGTGAATTGTAGATTCAGAAAATGGTGTGATGCCTGTCGTGCAGTGTTGTGGTGCCCGTATGTGATTAAAATTGATCTCGTGGGCAACTGCTGATCTGTTGGCGACATCTGCTACCATCAATGATGAACTGCAATTCTAATACTGTGATAAACGATCTGTGTGTTTTTCGTTGGCACAGGCACGGAGCAAAGATGGGGCGACCCGTTTGCTATGAAGCTGAAACTAAGACTACCAGACTACCAGACCAGACCAGACTACCAGATCCACTCCTAATTCCGTGTTTGCACATGTTATTTCAGCTAATCCCGTGTTTCCTACCAGCATTGTTTCATAAATAGACTCCAGAATGTCTCCATTGTCCAGCACAAGAGTTCCTATAGTTATCACTTTTGTTGCAGAAAAATCCGCTCTTTCATTTTCTCAGACTCCTGCATCTCCCTGCCAGTCTATCCACATGAGTTCCCATAATGTCATTGAGATTAACTCTCACCGCTAAATGGGTTCCAGGGCCACAAGAAAACAAGAATAGACCCACGACCTCCCTAACAAGCATGTCATAAGCATCGACTAATTTGGGTCTTCCTTCGAAGTCCGAAGTGCATCTGCCTGAGAGGCAAGAACGGAAAAATCTGTATACATATAAGTCAAATATGTGAAATGGATGTGCAGGCAACACTCAGATTCTAGAACAAGACTAAAGCCCAGAGGTGGACACTCAGGTTCTACAACAAGACTAAAGCCCAGAGGTGGACACTCAGATTCTAGAACAAGACTAAAGCCCAGAGGTGGACACTCAGATTCTAGAACAAGACTAAAGCCCAGAGGTGGACACTCAGATTCTAGAACAAGACTAAAGCCCAGAGGTGGACACTCAGATTCTAGAACAAGACTAAAGCCCAGAGGTGGACACTCAGATTCTAGAACAAGACTAAAGCCCAGAGGTGGACACTCAGATTCTAGAACAAGATTAAAGCCCAGAGGTGGACACTCAGGTTCTACAACAAGACTAAAGCCCAGAGGTGGACACTCAGATTCTAGAACAAGACTAAAGTCCAGAGGTGGACACTCAGATTCTAGAACAAGACTAAAGCCCAGAGGTGGACACTCAGATTCTAGAACAAGACTAAAGCCCAGAGGTGGACACTCAGATTCTAGAACAAGACTAAAGCCCAGAGGTGGACACTCAGATTCTAGAACAAGACTAAAGCCCAGAGGTGGACACTCAGATTCTAGAACAAGACTAAAGCCCAGAGGTGGACACTCAGGAGGTCTAGAACAAGACTAAAGCCCAGAGGTGGACACTCAGATTCTAGAACAAGATTAAAGCCCAGAGGTGGATCAGCAGAACTTTCCGCCAGAGTTACAGCCGTTGGACGTCAAGAAGGAGATTACATCTTACAGTGCTGGCACTCACATCCACCCTTCTTGCTTTCTTCCCTGTTTCAGATGAGGTGGAACAGTGTCCAGTCAAAGTCCCTGTGGTCAAGCCGTCGGTCAACAAGGCCGTCCCCAGACTTGGTGTGGGCTTGTTGTCCTTCAGCTGTGACAACAAATACTTGATCACAAGAAATGGTTTGTGGTTTGTATAATTGTTCTTGGATTGTTGGTCTTGTCTTATTGTTCTTGTATTATTTTTCCTATTATTCTTTAAATATTTGTCTTGAATTATTGTTCTTATATGATTGTTGATGAATTATTGTTCTTGTATTGCTGTTCTTGTATTTTTTAAAATTCTTGTTTGATTGTTTTTGTATTATTGTTCTTGTATTGTTGTTCTTGTATTGTTTTCTTGTACTGTTATTCTTTAAATACGTTTCTTGAATTATTGTTGTTGGAATCTTGTTCTTGTATTATTGTTCTTGTATTGTTGTTCTTGTATTGTTGTTCTTGTATTATGCTGTTCTTGTATTGTTGTTCTTGTATTATTCTTTTCTTGTATTATTGTTCTTGTATTGTTTTCCTGTATTGTTATTTTTGTATTATTTTGTTCTTGTATGATGTGTGATTGTTCATGTATGATTGTTCTTGTATTATTTTGTTCTTGTATGAATGTTCTTGTGTTATTAATCTTGTATTATTGTTCTTGTATTATTATTCTTTAAATATTTCTCTTGTATTATTGTAGCGATAGCTCACAGTGATAAACTTTTCTTAGAGCTGTATTGCAATAAAACATAAATTATGGTAAAAAAGAAAGAAATACCAAAGTGTGAAATACACGCAGACGGCAAAATTAACAAGTTAATAGATACAACTATTAAGGAGCAATCATAACTTCTGATGCAGGATGGCATGCAGACATTAGAACAAGACTTGCCACAGCAGAAGTAGCCTTTAGCCAGATGCAACATATTCTCACCAATAAGAATATGTCATCGCAATGAGAAGAGGGCTGCGTGGTCTCCGGTAAGGACTGGAATTTTTCCCCGTTGACTTAGACTTCTAGTAATTCATCTTGGTCTCTGGGTAGTGAGATCGGACGCCTATGTAGAAAAATTACTTGGCAGTTATAAATAAAAAAAGAGTAGCCTAACGGCACTACCCGGGCAAAATTTGGAGTTAAAAATCTAGCCAAAGTATTTGCATGTGCACTGTGATGAGCTTCTTTGGAGTTGAAGTTGGAAAAAGAACTGAGCACTTGTGGGTTACACCCATGTGCCGTGATGTTGATCCATTGTTCAAAACCTCAATCGCAATGAGAGAAAAAAAGAGTGTTAAAATGCTATGTAGAACCTGTGTGGATGTGGACAAAAAGCAGAGAAGTTGAAAAACCTTTACCTGATGCAGCAATGTGATTTCAGAGAAGAATGCAGAGAGTATCATGAAGGGATAAAAAAAAATGAAACAGTCCTCATTGAGACAGATGAAAGTTGTAAACTTATTAGAACAGTTAGAGAGACAATCAGTACTTTTTGGACATCATCACAGCCTTAAGTGGGTACAGGGTGCAGTCCCGGGTAGTAAAGGTGGCCGGCGTGATGCTGACCACATGACCCATCTTGTGTGGATTGGTCTATAAAAATGTAGGTATAGCCCTATATGCCCTATACGCCTAAAGGCTTGGAAAAGAGACCTTTACTTTACTTATTTTACTTATAAATAAATCTAAAAAACATTTATAATGTCAAATGTATGCTGAACTTTTACTTCACAAAATGTAATGCAGAATAGTAAACATTAAAAAACATTTTATGTTTTGCGGCGTCCGTGGCTAAGGCGTTGCGAGTCCGACTCGTAAGCCAGCATACCGCGATCCAAAACCCACTACAGGCTGCGTGGATTTTTGTCGTGGTATTGGACGTCGCAGGTTGACCCAGCCTAAAATTGGTACCAGGATGGGCTGTCCTGGGAAAGTAAAGACAGCCGGCGTAATGCTGACCACATTACCCACAGAATGCTGATGGTCTGTAAAAATATGGGACGCTCTGCCCATATGCCCGATGCGCCGAAAGGTGTGAAAAGGGATCTTTACTTTTTTTTTTATCCTTCAGTCAGTCTTTGGTAACTAATTACTATGAATGAAAGTATCCTAAGTATTATAACAAGTAACTAAACATGGAAATTGTCACTGGCAGCTTAGTTAATGCATGAAAGCTGCATTAGCTTTCAACAAAAACAGTCGTTCCATGTTGTCAGTGTTAAGGCAGTGTATGCAGAAGCGGGTGTAAGGTAACTACTCTTCGTATTTGGCCCAACCGCAAGTATTCGGCCAAATACTGAATAGTTATTAGGTCTACTATTTGGCACCGAAGCGAAAACGAAGCGAATATTCGGTACAGCTCTAGTGATTAGAAAGGATTATCATCACAGCACTCTGGACAGATCCATAGGTGCTCTGATCTCCTCCTCAAAAGCTCCACAAGTGTAAAACGACTGACGACGCTTGTTCTGTGCTGGTTAATGAAACATCTTGTCCTCTTAGTGAAATGTTAATTTCTTGCAGCTCCAGGCTGCACCCCCATGTCCATCAGTCTAGACAGGGATATGGAGTCATGTCCTTTGGCGTGCTCCTCGGTACGGAAAGTGCAGCGCATGGTATTGATAACGTCACTTCTGTCCAGTACTGGGCCAGCCATAGCAACCGCAATGTCAGCAAGATAGTCTGCATGTCGTTCCCTTGCATGACCTGGCACAAAGATGAAGGTTAGTGAAAAGGACCATTTGAACTTCCGGTTAAAATGGACGCTAGACAGCTTCTGTCGGACGGTGGCCGAAGTATTTTAGCTCCATTTGTAGACTGGATATAGTTTCGTCGCCCAGCTTCTGAGTTGAATGCATGGCGTGACCCTGTGAGCTGCGGATTGCATTTGGAATGTTTTTTCGACTGTGACCAACGTGGTGTGAATTGTAGATTCAGAAAATGGCGCGATGCCGGTCGTGCAATGCTGGCGGGACCCGTATTAAAATTGATCGCCCGGGCAACTGCTGATCTGTTGGCGACAAGTTCTGCTATCATCAATGATGAACTACATTTCTAATGTTGGACTGTTTGTGTTAGCACTTCGGATGGCCACCATATGCGTTAATGCGAGTGTATGCTAGATATGCTGAGACAGCAGTCTGTCAATCTTTCCACAAGGGACTGTGATAAACATTCTGGGTGTTTTTTGCGGGCACAGGAGCGGAGCAAAGATGGGGCGACCCGTTTGCTATGAAGCTGAAACTAAGACTACCAGACTACCAGATGAAGGTTAGGGCAGCTATTCATGAAGTGCTTAGTAAAAAAGCTCCTTAAATAATTTGTTTGTAGTGCGGCACTTTTGCGCTCCACTAGACAAAATTTCTCTGCTTATGCCCAATATGCCATTGGCATGAAAGGGGTTCTTTATTTACTTAATGACCTAATCTTTCCCACTCTTCTGTGATCTGATGAACACAGACAACATGCCGTGTGCTGTGTGGATATGGGATATTTCAAAGCTGGCCCTGTGTGCTGTACTCATACAGTCTCACCCAATCAAATGTAAGATTGTGTCTGTTGTTGATTGCTGTTGATGCTTCTGTTCATTGTAATTGTTTTGCTGTGTTGTCATATTTGAGGGGGCTTCAAACTTGCAAACCTTGAGAACATTAGGCGAGGAGAGAAGTGGGTCAGAGTGTCACCTGAACAGTCAGACTTGTGTAGGGTCATAATCACGCTGAGCCGGTAATGCAGAGACTGGCCAGCAGGTGCCATGGAGGTGGAATTCAGCAGTTAATTCAAGATAATGCTCACTCTGAGGATTTGATTATTTAAACAGACGGTTCAGTGTCAAGAGGCAAAAGAAGTTCTTGTTGTTTCTTAGAAAAAGTTAATGGTCGATGTTTGGTGCAGAAGAGCCTAGCATAGGATACCAAAACATCCAGCTTAAGAATGGAGGTGGAGTCGGTACCTGTAGCTTTCTGATGGTTAGAGAACACGACAGACACACATACATCGTGTGTAACTGACTCAGAAAGCATGCTGAGGAAGATCAGGACAGGTATGCTTCGTGCAGAGTGGCATGTCTGCCCTGGATTTTTTCACTGGGACACTCAGGTGTGTTGGGAAATGAACAGGTGGGCAGACTGGCTGGCTCTGCACAACTTGATGGAATACTGATGCATGATAAGGCAGACATGTTTAGTGCCTTGTGGGAGAGCGTGTACAGTTCGGAGGCGCAGATGGATCACCAGAGTAGTATCAAAACTCTTTGCTGGCTGCTGAAGGTGGGGATGCAGCGCTTATGGGAATGCCTGAGGGCTGTGACGTTGGTTCTTAAATCAAATCAAATCCGGGGGCTTCAAATGACAACCTTAAAAGTGTTGTAGAAATTGCGATAGTTATACCATTATCTTGTAAGTAAAGGCCCCTTTTCCCACGCCTTCAGGCGTATAGGGCATATAGGGCTAGGACTATATTTTATAGACCACTCGCCACTTGGTGGGTGATGTGGTCAGCACCATGCCGGCCGACCATCATCTTGTAGCCTGTCAAAACTGTTGTCAACTGTCATTATGACTTGACTGTGTTAATCTGCACCATGATGTCATGCGCTTAACACTCTTGACATCCTCAACAACAGTATTTCCAGGTTGGTTTCACTTCTAGCTTTCTTACTTCTTTAACGTCCTGCATAGTTACACCGTAATATTTCAGGACTGATGCAGTGTTTGCATGTTTTAACGGGCTTTTTCTCAATACCTAATATATCTACAATCATTCTCAGTACACATCAATTTTTGACAGAGCTCATCACTGAACATTACATCTCCCCCGACACTTCTCTGAGATGCAAGGGGGAAGAGAAGAAGAAGAAGATTCTCAGTACAACTCACAAAAGTCAACCCATCTCGTCAGCCACATTACATCTCCCCCGACACTTCTCTGAGATGCAAGGGGGAAGAGAAGAAGAAGAAGATTCTCAGTACAACTCATAAAAGTCAACCCATCTCGTCAGCCACGTGATTTTGTAGGGGTGTTCCCAGGACACTTCTATAGTCTAGGGGTGTCATATGTTTTCCTTTTTTGAATGTTCTAGGCTGTTCCACTACTGACGACAGCGGTGTCCGTGGCTTAGGCGTTGCGAGTTCGACTCGTAATTTCAACGTACCGCGACCGAAACCCCCTGCTGGCTGCGTGGATTTTTATCATGGTATGGGGCGTCGCAGATCGACCCAGCCTAAAATGGGTACCAGGATGTATGCCCTGGGGAAGTAAAGAAGGCCGGCGTAATGCTGACCACATTACCCAGCTAGTGCCGATTGGTCTGTAAAAATATGGGTGCTCTTTCTATATGCCCAATGCGCCTGAAGTCGTGAAAAGGGATCTTTACTTTACTACCAACAACAGCCACCACCAACGAGCATAAAACTACAAAAACACTAATGACTCAGTACTCACAAACCTTCGCACCGTCGTTGCTCCCGTCTGCAATGCTTCATCTTGCTCATAGGCGCCTGAGACCTAATCACAGCAACAACAGATTTCAGAAACAACAGTTATTCACAGAAAAAACAGTTGCAAAAAATAAGCTGTGCAGTTTCCTCAGGGAGACAGTGTGTTGACCTTGTCAAACAAACCCAAGCCACGCTGTGTATAGACAGTGAAGGAAGACATCCCATAACACCCCTACAACATGGGACAGACTATGACTACGAAATCTCACTGCCGACGAGATGGGGGTGACTTTTATGAGTAGTACCTGACCTGACCCCCCCCCCCCCCCCCCCCTCTTTCCCGTGGCAGTTGGAGAATGACTAATACGTGGAACAAAAGTTGTTTTGGAATGAGAAAAAATATTGAACATACTATGGGATGAATTCAAGAGGAGTGAAGACATAAGAGAAATTTCTGGGGAAAACTACTAGTAACAACAGTTATATATATATAAATGATAGAGGTACCTGTGAACAAAAATGACAATGACTGTGTTGCGTGGAGGCAGAAAGGAATGGGGGTGGGGGACAAATGACTGCAGATATGTTGAGAGGGAAGAGTCTGAGAAGAAGCTCACTCAATTCATTGTCACCGCACCCCCCTTTCCCCGCCCCATTCCTCCCTGCCCCCGCCCCCCTCATTCATCCTATGCCCGATTGTCCTATCTCCAGAATCGACTTCAATACATGTATCATTCATGTCGTGCTTGACACATTTTTATATTATACTAGAGGCTGACCTCTCAACATCTACCCTCTGTAATTAACCATAGAGGATGTTTTTAGGGACTCTACCTGCCTCCATCCTTGAAGTATGTCCTATCCACGACTGGCTGCAGCTGACGGGCCGTGCTGCTGACGTCACCAGGTCGGGCTAACGATGTGTTAACGCCGCGGTTCTCAAACAAGGAATAAACAATTTTCCACAGTGGCGAGGGAAGAAAACTTAAATTTCAACTTTTAAGTATCTACATACCTTCTTTAATAATTTCACAATTTTTAGCCGACTTTTCTTGATTATTGCCGTGGCACCCCTGGTCTATGCTCACTGCACCCCAGATGTGCCTCGGCATCCAGTTTGAGAACCGCTGTGTTAGCCTGACCTGTAACGTCAGCAGCATGGCCCATCAGCTGGAACCGGTCATGTCTTGTCCATCAGAACCATCAAAGACTGAGCATTGAGAAAACGTGGTTGTTGTAGTAATGGTGTTAATGTAGAAAATTATCGAACTGGATGATGCGTTTCTAACAGGCGTATGTTGGGACCCCCGACATCCTCGCCTGGCCTTATGTACGTCGTCCAACAAGCTCTATATGTGGTCCCCGGATGGTTGTTTGTCGGTTGAAGCACCTGTTGAAGGTATGGTATATATAAGCTGTAACTCTTGTGTAATTTCTCTTGCTGTTTCATTTGTATGATGTGATTTTAATTGTAATATTTTTTTTTTTTTTTACGATATAGGGAAATTTTAATTATGGTCTCAAGGTTAAAGTTTAAAGTCCAGAGGATTGACTTCATTCACTGGGTTTTATTCCATATGGCTCAGTCTCTCTCCACAGAACAACTAGCCGTCTGGCGAGAGTGTCACACAGAGCACAAACTCTGTAGCTCCGGGTTCGATCCCCAGGAATCTCCATAAAAAATTGCACCCATGAACTAAACGACGTGTCGTGAAATTAACCCACGATCACAATGCTTGACCACTTCACTTTGCGACCCCTCGTTAATTGCATGAGCCTGTTTTAACCATGATCTCATTTACTGGATAAAGTAATTTTATATATGGTCTCATTTACTGTATAAGATAATTTTATCTGTGGTCTCATTTTCTGTATAAGATAATTTTATCTGTGGTCTCATTTTCTGTATAAGATAATTTTATCTGTGGTCTCATTTTCTGTATAAGATAATTTTATCTGTGATCTCATTTACTGTATAAGGTAATTTTATCTGTGATCTCATTTACTGTATAAGGTGATTTTATCTGTGATCTCATTTACTGTATAAGGTAATTTTATCTGTGATCTCATTTACTGTATAAGGTAATTTTATCTGTGATCTCATTTACTGTATAAGGTAATTTTAATGTGTCTCATTTGCTTTATAAGGTAATTTTATCTGTGATCTCATTTGCTCTATAAGATAATTTTAATGTGTCTCATTTACTGTATAAGGTAATTATATCTGTGATCTCATTTACTGTATAAGGTAATTTTATCTGTGATCTCATTTACTCTATAAGGTAATTTTAATGTGTCTCATTTGCTCTATAAGATAATTTTATCTGTGATCTCATTTGCTCTATAAGATAATTTTAATGTGTCTCATTTACTGTATAAGGTAATTATATCTGTGGTCTCATTTGCTCTATAAGATAATTTTATCTGTGATCTCATTTGCTCTATAAGGTAATTTTATCTGTGATCTCATTTGCTCTATAAGGTAATTTTATCTGTGATCTCATTTGCTCTATAAGGTAATTTTATCTGTGATCTCATTTGCTCTATAAGATAATTTTATCTGTGATCTCATTTGCTCTATAAGATAATTTTAATGTGTCTCATTTACTGTATAAGGTAATTATATCTGTGGTCTCATTTGCTCTATAAGATAATTTTATCTGTGATCTCATTTGCTCTATAAGGTAATTTTATCTGTGATCTCATTTGCTCTATAAGATAATTTTATCTGTGATCTCATTTGCTCTATAAGATAATTTTAATGTGTCTCATTTACTGTATAAGGTAATTATATCTGTGGTCTCATTTGCTATATAAGATAATTTTATCTGTGATCTCATTTGCTCTATAAGGTAATTTTATCTGTGATCTCATTTGCTCTATAAGGTAATTTTATCTGTGGTCTCATTTACTATGTAAGGTAGTTTTTATCCTAACCTCATTTCTTTTCACAAAGAAACAGAAAATGTGTGTCTGTCAACTCAGATAGAATTCACTTTACTAAAAAAAAAACATGTAGAAAAAAGATTTGAATTGTTAGTTTTTTCCCCCTCTTCCTCATTCTTCCTTCTCCTCCTCCTTCTTTTTCTCCTCCTTCTCCTTTTCCATCTTTTTCTCTCCCTTCTTCTTCTTCTCTTGCCATTCTTCTATTTATTTGTCTTCAAGTCCGGTGAAGTTTTGGGGGAGATTTTCAGTAAAGGTTTTCTGATTACTCTGTCTGATGGCAAAGGCTATTCTTGATTCCGTAGCTTCGTTTATTTCATTGAGTTTCCCATTGCTCTCTGTTTATTATACTGTATATTATATATATTATATTATATTATATATGTTATAATTATATTATATTATATATAGTTTCGTCACCCAGCTTCTGAGTTGAGTGCATGGTGTGACACTGTGAGCTACGAGTGTTTTTCGTTGGCACAGGAGCGGAGCAACAATGGGGTGACCCGTTTGCTATGATGCTGAAACTAGGATTACCAGATTACCAGATTACCAGATTACTTGTTTATTATACTTCGTCAACTTTACTGTCTGTTGTAGTTGGTCCCATTGAATTCTTATCAGATGGCCAAACCATTTTGTTTATTGAATAATTTGCTTAAAAAAATTATGCATGCCTACTTATTATAGAAGAGGATGAGCAAAGGAGGGGGTTGGGGTAGGGGGGGGGGGGGTACATCCACTATACTGCTAATAATGTTAAATCAAGTTAAGTTGATTCAAAAAATTGATATCAGAGCACCCGTAGCATTTCCATAAGTGCTCCATCCCCATCTTCAGTAGCCAGTGCAGAGTTCCTATAATAATGGTGCCAGTAGCATTCTGATGAAACGTCCGTCTTGCCTTTCTTCTGAGTCTCAAGCATCTGCCAGAACCCCTCGTCACACCCCGCCGCATTGATCTCACCAGACTGTGGTGATCCATCTGCTCCTCTGAACTGAAGACGCTCTCCCACAGGGCACTAACCACGCCTGCCTTATCATGCATCAGTATTCCACCAAGTTGTGCAGAGCCAGCCAGTAAATCCACCTGTTCATTTCCCAACACACCTGCATAGCCCTAGAAGAAAAAAAATGCTGCTAAGAATGAGAATTAAGAGTTCAAATTAACACAGCCAGGAACAAGAGCCACACTAGATATACGAGAAGTCTTCAGCCAGCATACAACTGGCATTATTCACCTTGGAAGGTTGAAGTTCAAGTCTTCTTCTTCTTCTTCTTCTTGTTCACCGGCTGTAAACTCCAGCTGAAAGTTCTGATTGTTCGTCCACTTCTGGACTGCAGTCCTGTTCCAGAACCTGAGTGGTGTGTATGCATCCGTTTGACATATCTGACTAATTTGTATGCAGACTGTTGGTTCCTTGCCTCTCAGGTAGCTGCTCTTGAACTTCGAAGGAAGCTCCCAATTAGTCGACTATTACGACATGCTTTTGTGTAGGCAGTGGGTCTATTCTTGTTTTCCTTATAATAGGGCCCTGAAACCCACACGGGGGAAAGTTAAAGTAACTGTGGAGAATTAAAAATGAGCACCTGTGGATGTGCCTGGAGTGCCACGAAGGTAACCCAGCTGATAACTCATATAAAAGTGAAGAATGGTGGAACAGGTGTTCACATGAAACACCCAGATGTCACTAATGATTGATTGAATTAGAACCTTTAATTTATTTAATTTCTTTTTTTGTCTTCTCCATCAGGTACATTTTTGATCCACAGTCTGTCATGGCACCCAGAAGGGGAGGCAATCCTACTGATCGGCAAAGAACAGATGTGCGTCTGCTTCTTGTCTCCGACAGACGCCAATGCTGCAGCTGCCCACAACACCAGCACAATCAGTCAGGCTAACGACACCAGGACGCACCAGACACATACTATCAGCACTATAAAAAACCTGGACAACAGTGGAGCTACCATCACAGTGGACAGTTTGGACTTGTGAGAGTGACCTCGGAAACAGAAGGGCAGTCGGATGAAACACATAGACCTTTAACAAAAAAATCCAATATTTAAAATTTAATAGTTTTCACTTTTCTATCTTTCCAGATGATAGTGTTATAGTGTGCTATATGGGGAGGTATGGAAATCACAGTTCATGATTATAGTGTTATAGTGTGCTATATGGGGAGGTATGGAAATCACAGTTCATGATCATAGTGTTATAGTGTGCTATATGGGGAGGTATGGAAATCACAGTTCATGATGATAGTGTTATAGTGTGCTATATGGGGAGGTATGGAAATCACAGTTCACGATGATAGTGTTATAGTGTGCTATATGGGGAGGTATGGAAATCACAGTTCATGATGATAGTGTTATAGTGTGCTATATGGGGAGGTATGGAAATCACAGTTCACGATGATAGTGTTATAGTGTGCTATATGGGGAGGTATGGAAATCACAGTTCATGATGATAGTGTTATAGTGTGCTATATGGGGAGGTATGGAAATCACAGTTCATGATGATAGTGTTATAGTGTGCTATATAGGGAGGTATGGAAATCACAGTTCACGATGATAGTGTTATAGTGTGCTATATGGGGAGGTATGGAAATCACAGTTCATGATGATAGTGTTATAGTGTGCTATATGGGGAGGTATGGAAATCACAGTTCATGATGATAGTGTTATAGTGTGCTATATAGGGAGGTATGGAAATCACAGTTCATGATGATAGTGTTATAGTGTGCTTTATGGGGAGGTATGGAAATCACAGTTCATGATGATAGTGTGCTATATAGGGAGGTATGGAAATCACAGTTCATGATGATAGTGTTATAGTGTGCTATATGGGGAGGTATGGAAATCACAGTTCATGATGATAGTGTTATAGTGTGCTATATGGGGAGGTATGGAAATCACAGTTCATGATGATAGTTTTATAGTGTGCCTTGGGGAGGCATAGGACTCTCAGTTCACAACGATGGTGTGTGTAATTAGCAAGGCTTGCAGATGTTAAGAAAAGTCTTCCCCAAGGGAGGCCAGGTATCAAGTGTCTGCTCTCCCTGGCACACTGGCATATGATGCTTCCTATTCTTCTTACAGTCCATGCCGTGTGGCATTGGTAGTCATGTCTATCCACAACCTTGTGTCTCGTGTACTTTAATTAACTTTGGTGCAGATGATTCTCCATGCCATGTAACGTTGGTAGTCATGTGAATCCACAACCTTCTGTCTCATTTACTTTTAATTATCTCTGACACAGATGATCCTCCGTGGCATTGGTAGTTGGTTTTAAATGCAGTTTTTGAATTCCAGTATAAGATGAATCTAGCGTGATTTTCCTGATACATCAATGGTGTGAAAATATGTTGAATTAAGAATCAACATCATAGCAACTGAGACACTCCCTTTTGTCCTCCATCTTCAGCAGCAAGTAGAGAGTTCCAATTCTGGTGGTACCAATAATTCCCCTTCCCTTAAGTGTTGAGCGTCGGTCAGATACCCTGGTAATTTCCTGCATCTGACCGTAATGACCTATTTGTACCTCCGCACTGTTCATTTACTCACAAAGGACCCTCCCATCTAGCTTATGTTAAATGGTGTGAAATTCATCCATGGAAAAATGACAGAAGCTAACCGAAAGGAGGAAGTAGAACAAAGTAAACAAACCAAACCGAGGTCATTCTTGATATAAACCATTCCGTTGGAATAATATCATCCAGGGACTATATTTGAGCAGTGGAACACATCTGGGACAATGGAGACTTGAACACCGCAGTTTCACCAACAATGGCGATTGCTGGACTATCATGGTGACACCATATTCATTCGGGGCTGCATCATTCGAAGCATGGTGTCCGCCTCGAGTTGACTTGGACTTCTAGTGATTCCCCCTCTGGTCTCTGGGTAGTGAGATCAGACGCCCGTGTGTATTGTTGCGCACATAAAAATTTCCTTGGCAGTTGGAAATTGAAAAAAGTAGCCTAACGGCCCTGCCCAGGCAAAATTTTGAGTTAAAAATCTACCCAAAGTATTTCAGGATCCTCGCCGGCGCTACAGAGCATGTCCACTGTGCTGAGCTTCTTCAGACTCAGACTTGAGTTAGAAGAAGAACGGAGCACTTATGGGTTACTAACGGTGTGTCATGATGTTGTTCCATTGTTCGTCTTTTTGCTGATTTATAGTCAAAATCATAATAGGCACAAGTCATTGCCCAAGTTACCTTCCTATTCGTCCCAGTGTATGCAGGCGCTGTTGGTAACAAAAGAGCTGATAGACTGGCAGGTGCTGCAATAATTGCAGATGACTGGCTCATGGATCAGGCAGACATTGTCATTGCCCTTAGAGGGATAGGACTTTATGAGGATCTTGGAAGCAATGTGTCCACATCACTGCTAAGAATACGAGAACTAGGAGTAAAGATTGACACAGCCAAGCATGAGAAGCACACAAAGTCTTGTTATCCAACATAGGACTGGCACTATTAACCGTGCAACGCTGATGAATTTGTTGAGAGGGGAATCTAAGTGCCTATGGATGTGTCCGGAGTGCTGTGAAGATAATCTAACTTATAACGCACAACTCATAACTCACTCATAACTCATAATGCAAATAGAAAATGTGAATTTCCTTCTTCCACTGATTCAACTGTCAGATAAATCCCAATGCAGGATGAATTTGTTGTTTTAAAACCCCACCCAGGATGTGGTCGGGGCCCGAATAAACCTAGTGGTTGAACAGGGTTTCTGGGACCTGTCCCGGGGTGATCCTCATCTGAATGGTAGCACTTTGTGTCACCAGGTGTTTATCTCTCAGTGTGATGTCCTGGTGTGGTTGAAGGTCAATCACCTTATCTATTGATGAATAGCCCAGATTCACAACAGGCATCAGTCAGTGCAAATAGAAAATGTACACGGTCTTGCTCTGAAGGTGTGTGGTAAGTGCATCAAAATTTGCAAAATAAAGATATTTTTTTATAATCTTCTTCTTGGCTTTTTGTCTGTGAGCATTGCAACGGTGCCCTCTGAGCGAGAACAGATAAATACACCACTCTCCTGATTCTGAAAGGCGTTTTAAAAAAAGAGTGGGAAGTATATTCCAAGGAGGGTAAGAGTTAGTACGCATCTCGGCTTCACTCCATTCTTGAATTTAATTAACAGGCAGACAGATTGACTGGATCTACACCACTGGGTGGTGAATTGATACATGACAAGGCAGATGTAGTCATCGCCCTTTGGAAACAAGCAACGGAATCAGTAGAGAAAGAATATTATTATGGCCTGGAGAGAATGAGGCACCTGGGTGTAACCTGAGGGTCTGGCCAGCTCACTACACTCAGAGGAAAGGCAAGGCTGACATATAACCAGATAGTGACTGGTACTATCAGTATTGGAACTCTGCGCTGGCTACTGAAGATGAGGACGGAGCACACATGGGAATGCCCCGAGTGCTGTGATGTCAGTTCTTGACTCAACTCAGCTCCATTCTTGATTGCCTGACCCACTCTGCTTTTCTTTATTTCAGTGAAAATGTTTTTTTTTTTTAAGCTGACTCACTTGTCATTTGTGTTTGTCGTAATGCAAACTCACTGACTCTACTTTTTGTTTAGTTTGTTATATTTCAGTTACATGTTTTCGAAATACCACTAGTCCTCGCTCATGTACCATACGACAATGAAAGGTTTACACAGCTCTTGACGTCAGAGCATCATATGCCTGTTTCAGTTCTTCCTTAGAAACATGTTTCGCTTGATCTGTTAAAGAATGATTGCAAACTGATATCATGCCGTCCGTTTGTGAGTGCTTGTCATCTCATACCACCAGTTATTTAATAAACTGCCCAGCGTCCTAGCTCAGTTGATTAAACCATCCGGCGAGGTGACCGGGTGACGACTTCCTTGTGGTCCGGGTTTACGCCCAGGGGTAGGCAGAGAAGTCACATATCTCCCTGATTTACGGTACCTATCATGGAATCAAGGCCGAAGAGTTGCGATATCCATAGTGCCGAGCAAAAGGGTTTACAACTCATAGTTTCTGGATATTTGAATTATAAAAAAATTGAATGACTGAATACATGTATCATACCACCAGTCATTGAATGACTGAATACATGTATCATACCATCAGTTATTGAATGACTGAATACATGTATCATACTATCAGTTATTGAATGACTGAATACATGTATCATGCCATCAGTTATTGAATGACTGAATACATGTAACATGCCATCAGTTATTGAATGACTGAATACATGTATCATACCACTAGTTATTGAATGACTGAATACATGTATCATGCCATCAGTTATTAAATGACTGAATACATGTATCATGCCATCAGTTATTGAATGACTGAATACATGTATCATACCACTTGTTATTGAATGACTGAATACATGTATCATACCACCAGTTATTGAATGACTGAATACATGTATCATACCATCAGTTATTGGATGACTGAATACATGTATCATACTATCAGTTATTGAACGACTGAATACATGTATCATACTATCAGTTATTCAACGACTGAATACATGTATTATACCATCAGTTATTGAATGACTTAATACATGTATCATACCATCAGTTATTGAATGACTGAATACATGTATCATGCCACCAGTTATTGAATGACTGAATACATGTATCATGCCATCAGTTATTGAATGACTGAATACATGTATCATGCCACCAGTTATTGAATGACTGAATACATGTAGCATACCACCAGTTATTGAATGACTGAATGCATGTATCATACCACCAGTTATTGAATGACTGAATACATGTATCATACCATCAGTTATTGAATGACTGAATACATGTATCATGCCACCAGTTATTAAATGACTGAATACATGTATCATACCACCAGTTATTGAATGACTGAATGCATGTATCATACCACCAGTTATTGAATGACTGAATACATGTATCATGCCATCAGTTATTGAATGACTGAATACATGTATCATGCCATCAGTTATTGAATGACTGAATACATGTATCATGCCATCAGTTATTGAATGACTGAATGCATGTATCATACCACCAGTTATTGAATGACTGAATACATGTATCATGCCACCAGTTATTAAATGACTGAATACATGAAGCATACCACCAGTTATTGAATGACTGAATACATGTATCATGCCATCAGTTATTGAATGACTGAATACATGTATCATGCCATCAGATATTGAATTACTGAATACATGTATCATACCATTAGTTATTGAATGACTGAATACATGTATCATACCACCAGTTATTGAATGACTGAATACATGTATCATGCCATCAGATATTGAATTACTGAATACATGTATCATACCATTAGTTATTGAATGACTGAATGTATGTATCATACCACCAGTTATTGAATTACTGAATACATGTATCATACCATTAGTTATTGAATGACTGAATGTATGTATCATACCACCAGTTATTGAATGACTGAATACATGTATCATGCCATCAGTTATTGAATGACTGAATACATGTATCATGCCATCAGTTATTTAATGACTGAATACATGTATCATGCCATCAGTTATTGAATGACTGAATACATGAAGCATACCACCAGTTATTGAATGACTGAATACATGTATCATGCCATCAGTTATTGAATGACTGAATACATGTATCATGCCATCAGATATTGAATTACTGAATACATGTATCATACCATTAGTTATTGAATGACTGAATGTATGTATCATACCACCAGTTTTTGAATGACTGAATACATGTATCATGCCATCAGTTATTGAATGACTGAATACATGTATCATGCCATTAGTTATTGAATGACTGAATACATGTATCATGCCATCAGTTATTGAATGACTGAATGCATGTATCATACCACCAGTTATTGAATGACTGAATACATGTATCATGCCATCAGTTATTGAATGACTGAATACATGTATCATGCCATCAGATATTGAATTACTGAATACATGTATCATACCATTAGTTATTGAATGACTGAATGTATGTAGCATACCATCAGTTATTGAATGACTGAATACATGTATCATACCACCAGTTATTGAATGACTTAATACATGTATCATGCCATCAGATATTGAATTACTGAATACATGTATCATACCACCAGTTATTGAATGACTGAATACATGTATCATGCCATCAAATATTGAATTACTGAATACATGTATCATACCATTAGTTATTGAATGACTGAATACATGTATCATACCATCAGTTATTGAATGACTGAATACATGTATCATACCATCAGTTAGTTAATGAGCAAGCAAATGAAGCTGAAAAAACAAAACCAGACGAGATGCAGTTTTGTTTTTGTTTTAATTTTTTTGACCAGTTATGCGACACGCATGCAGCAGGAAGGTCTATGTTGTCTGAAAGAATCTAAGCGTGTCCTTAGGTGCTTACTCACTGTCCCCCTCACGTAGAAGACCAATGCGGTAGCCGACAAAAGTGGTGTAGATTTCATCAGGCCTGCCATAGAGATATGATCGTCGGCGTGTCCTTACACATACTGTGTCGTTTTTCTTCAACCTCAGAGTTGCGGAGTTTCCTGGGGAAGACTTAGCGGTCAGTGTAGGCACATCTCTCTTAAATTATTGATTCAAACTTTTCTATCTAGATCAGAGGTTCTCCAGCCTTGTTCAGGTCCTGCTTCCCTTGCGTATATGGCAAGACCCCAACGCTCCCCTCCCCCTTGAGTGTATTTCAGTCGCCCCTTTGCCACGACCCCACCCTCTTTTAAGTATACTGTAATCACATATATAAACAGAAGGAAAACCCTTCAGGCCGTTACATATTATATATATAATAAAGTAATAGAAAATGTATTGATCGGCACTAATAGAAAGAATAGAGAGATAGAAGAACACACTAGACAACATGCAGATCGAAGTTTAAGACCCATTTCCGGACCTAACACACACACAAAGTGATTAAATTGAAGAGGACAATAGATTCCGCAACCACGGAAACAGTATGGAGATATGTTTGAAGCATGGAGATACGTTTTGGTCAGAAGTTGGCTATTTTGTGATTATAGCGAACATGCCCGGTAGGTCAACGACTTATCGCATGAGGTGTTTCTTGAGCGCCAGAGAAGCCATCTCATGGATCATTTTGCATTTTCTTTAGCTTTTTCAGCTGACGTCTGCTTACTGTGACGAGGCCAAACCCGTAGTTAATTACTGGAAGCACCAATCTTCGATATCGCATAAACAACGGTCTTTGTTTCATCTTAGCCGCGATCACCCTACAATTACACAGAACCCGACCAGTACACAGAACCCAACGACGACACAGGTCATGGGTCTTCTTGGCGAAGCGGTCAAGCCGTTTGCCTTCGAAGGTAGTGGGTTTGTTTCAAAGCTCGTTCAATTCCCAAGCGCAAAATTTCCATAGATCGCCCCTGGAGCTAGTGGGTTCACTCTTTATGCTCGGTTCTCAACAGCCGGCTAACTGCTCTGCAAAGAGAAGAGCTATATGGGATGTGTGGGGACAAATGAGTCGATAATCTTGACGTTAACGAAGGACATTACAAGTAAGTTACAGAGGTCATACTTAACGAGACACACAACGCTTACCAGCGGCATCGTGGTCCGAACCTTGTCGAGCGAATGCCGACACAATGTACTGATCATTGTGAACAAGCTCTACCCAGAAATCGTATCTTTTTAGGGTCAATCCATGTATTTGAAATACGTAAACTCCGCTCTATGTGAATGAAAAGGAGAAGGTTAGGTTCACGTAAATCTACCCAAACAAAGTAGGTCATTTTTCATTCACAAGTTTGTTAGGCTAGTCGACTTTTCTGAAGGTTACGGATGTGTCCCGCTCTGTTGTTTTCTTTCTGCGTTGTCTTGCATTTACGTTTTTATTTCGAGAAAGAGAATGCCCGTGATATAGGTTGCAGCAATCTCTAAGGTGGTTGTGTTAGGGCCAGTTTCTTCACGTTTTTGGAGTGTTAAAAGCGCTGGCGTGCAACATGCTATATCAACGGCATTGAGGAACCCCCGTAACCATGTGCCAAGGTGTCGGGTTCAGAAACTACCATCATAAGTGAGGTAGTGTGTATCTACGCGGGGCGTGGGGAGACTAACGTCACTTTAACCCAGGAGAATTTCAATTCCTACAGGGAGACAGACACACACATACACATACAGAGATGATCTACCATACTTCCATTGCATGCTACCTCTTTCGCTGCTCTGCTCAAAGTGGTGACACCATAATTCATTAACTGTTACTATGTAACGCAGGAAGTTATTAGAATACCATTCCATGACTTCCTCCTTTTAGTGGTCGGTCAATATTATAAACATATATCATCAATTGAACTTCCAGCTAAACAAAATGTTGAGTTAATTGTCGTCCGTGGCTTGGGCGTTGAGAATCTGACTCGTAATTCCAACGTACCGCGATCAATCGAAACCCACTGCTGGCTGCGTGGATTTTTGTCATGGTATGGGGCGTCGCAGGTCGATCCAGCTTAAAATGGGTACCAGAATGGCTGTCCTGTGGAAGTAAAGACGGCTGGCGTAATGCTGACCACATTACCCACATAGTGCCGATAGTAAAGTAAAGTAAATATCCCTTTTCACGCCACAGTCGCATCGGGCATATGGGAAGAGCATCCATATTTTTAAAGACCATTCGGTTTAGCGGGTAATTTGGTTATCATTACGCCGGCCGTCTTTACTTACATCCTGATACCCCTTTAAGGTTGGGTCGACCTGCGACGCCCCATAAAGTGATAAAAATCCACTCAGCCAGCAGTGGGTTTCGATCGCGGTACGTTGGAAGTACGAGTCGGACTCGCAATGCCTAAGCCACGGTCGCCGCACCTAGTGCCGATGGTCTGTCTGTAAACAATATGGGCGCTCTTCCCATATGCCCGATACGTCTAAAAGCGTGAACACGGACCTTTACTTTTTTATTACATACTTGTCGTCTGCTGACGGGGCAGCGTTTCAATTTTGATAGATCATAGATTAAAGTTCTCTGTTTAAAAAAAAAACATTTTTTGCTTCACGGATGGTGCTTTGTTTTGGCCATAATAATAGCGGACATGGAGTCATTGTGGTGTAGCGGTTATAAACTCGCCTGTTGATTAGAAGGTCGTGGGTTGAAATTCTAAGTAAAAGTTAGTTGCGTATCCTTTACAGGAAGTTGCAGAACCAACCCTAGCATTTTTTTTACTGTTGTGGTTTTTCTAGTCAAATTTACCTCCAGTAGTTTGCCATTGCTTTCTAGACAGTCGGCTTCTCGATACCACTGTTAAAACCAACGCAAGGCGCAAGGTCCGCAGCTGGGATTGAACTCGGCACCCCGGCATTACAGAGCGCGTTCGCAACGCCTAAACCACACACACCCTAGTACCGGTATTTTTAAAATTCAGTCACGACCTTGGCTTCCAGATCGACCCAGCCTAAAATGGGTACCAGGCAAAGTCCTGGGGAGTAAAGGCGGCTGGGTTAATTTTGACCACATCACTCCAGTGTGTAAGGAACCTAAACTGACTGACTTTGATTTATAGGACAACCTTGTTGAAGAACGATGTGATACAAATAAACAGTGGTTCTCACACTGGGGGCTGTGAAGATCCCAGTTTTGTTGCTGTAGCCGCCGCCAAAGTTGAGGAGAACCTTGTTGAAGACAAGAATCTGGCCACTTTCAATGTCACGGTCGGAATCAAAGGCCGCGGTGAAGGCCACGGTACCAGCTTTGAAATGACAAAATCTCATGAACCAGAGAGAGAGAGAGTGAGTGAGAGAAAGAGAGAGAGAGAGAGAGAGAGAGAGAGAGAGAGAGAGAGAGAGAGAGAGAGAGAGAAGGGGGGGGGGGGAGAGTGAGTGTGTGGCGACAGGCAGACGGAGAGATAAACTGATAGTCGGGTGATTTGATGGATTGCTGGGTGGATGGATAGATGTATATATAGAGACAGACAGACAGACAGACAGGCAGAAGGACGGACAGACAGACAGACAGACAGACAGACAGACAGACAGACAGACAGACAGACAGACAGACAGACAGACAGACAGACAGACAGACAGACAGACAGACAGACAGACAGACAGACAGACAGACAGACAGACAGACAGACAGACAGACAGACAGACAGGCAGTCAGGCAGGCAGGCAGACAGACAGACAGACAGAACCAGCAGTGTATGCAACTCACCCGAACTTTGCCCAAAAAAGGCGCACATCGCGGCAAATACAGCGCACACAGAGATATACATGATGATAGTGTCCGGTATTTCAGATTATCTATCAGTCGTAGAACAGAACGCCTACTACAGAGAAAACAACCAGTGGCAGTTAATCACATGATCGGCATTAGGTTAAAAAAAGGAGAGAAGACTAGCAATATTTAACAAACGTTTCAGATAAAACAACCAGTGACGATGTCAATCATATGAACGAAAACAGTTAAGACAACTTGCCAGATAATCAGTTACCAATAACGTATTCGAGAATGAAGGAACTGTAATATTTAAGACATTCAGTGAACTGAAAAGTGTTAAATAATCTACGAGCTATAACATATAAGTTAATCCATAAACAATAACATATAAGATAATCTATAAACAGTAACAAAAAGATAATCTATAAACAGTAACAAATAAGATAAGATAATCTATAAACAGTAACAAATAAGAAAATCTATGAAAAGTAATAAATAAAATTAAATACGAACAGTGACAAAAAAGGTAATCTATGAAGAGTAAAAAAAAAGGATAATCTATTAACAGTATAACATAAGATAATATATGAACAGTAATAAATAAGACAATATATGAATAGTGATAATAAGTGAATAAGACAGTGAATAGTGAAATAGTGAATAACATAATATATGAACAATCACTAATGAGACCAATGAAAATTCAGTTAATTTATGAACAGTAACAAAAAACAAAAAAACAAAAGATAATCTATCTTATTCTTCGTCTTCTTTCGTTCGTCTGAAATAAGTTGTCTATATCAGCAATTTAATCTCTTGTATAAATTTCACTGTCGTTGTTAGTTCATTCAGTGGTCCATAGAGTTTACGTTCCACTGTTGTTCTTTCTGGCCAAAAGGTTTGCCCTAATGTGTCAAATTCGGTGCAGTCCTGGAGTACATGCTCTGCTGTCTGTGGCACCTTTCCACAGGTGCACATGGCTGATACGCCTATCTTGAATTTTATGTACATGTGGTTACGTAATCGGTTGTGCCCTGTTCTGAGGCGGAGGATAATGACTTGTTCTGATCTGTCCAAAATAAAATAGTCGTCTTGTGCTGGGGCTGGTGGTTTCTTGACCGATTTAATTATTTTTTTTCTTTCGGTGGTATGTGGCTGGAACATCCGGCTACACTTTTGTTGCACCTTTCCCTGCCAGTTGATCAGCTTTCTCATTTCCAGGCACTCCACAATGTGACGGTATCCACTGCATTACGACTTTTCGCTGAAGGCTGAGTTGTGTCAGCAGTGTTTGCAATTCTGGTAGTTTCCTAGACTGGAGTGCTTCAAGTACTGATTTTGCATCTGTCAGCATTACTATCAGCCAAGATTGGTATTTAGCAGTTTCTCTGTTGCTATCTTGATAGCCTGAGTGTCAGCATCATAGTTATGGCAGTACTTCCCGGTTGGTACGCTGGACTTATCCCTAGTACCATCTGGGAATTCTATGTACACTTCAGCACCACCATTTCTAACTGCACTTTGTGCGGACCCATCTATATAGACTCTGACCCATTGTTCTTGAGGGTATTCTTCATCAATATAATTGAGGGTGTCCAACTGCGTTGTACACTATCTTGTTCTTTCTTGTGTTTGCATGTGTATGCACTTCTGGGTGTTTGTCTCTGTGGGTGTCAGTATGGGTTTGTCTGCCTGTTTGTCTGTGTGTGTGTGTGTTTGACTGCGTGTGTGTCTATGTGGCTTTTTGTATGTGTCTGCATGTTTGTCTGCGTATGTGTGTGTGTGTCAGTGTGTGAGCACGAATGTAAATATGTGTGCTGTGTGTTTCCCTGTGTGGTTATATGTAAGTGTCTCTGTGTGTGTCTGTATTTTTGTCTGAGTGTGTGTGTCTCTGTGGGAGTGTCCGTGTGTGCATATGTGTGTCTCCATGCATGACTGTATTTATGACTGTATGTTTGTATGTGTGTATGCCTGTATTATGTATGTATGAATGTATGTATGTATGCCTGTATGTTTGTATCTTTGTATGTATGTTTGTGTGTATGTATGCCTGTGTGTATGTGTGTATGCATGTTTGTTTGTATGTATGTGTGTATGTATGTATGCCTGTATGTGTGTATGTATGCAATGTATGCATGTATGTGTGTGTAAGTGAGTGGGTGAGCGTGTGTATGTGGGTGTATGTATGCACGCGCGGGTTTTTGCATGCACTTTACAACTCATGCTTTTGTGTTCTTTTATAATATTCATAATATGCATATCATCATATGATCATAACATGCTTTATTAGTAAAATACAATTGCTGTGTGAAAGATGGTTGACTGGAAGGGCCGAATGTAAGACGGGCCTGCGTGCCCAATTTGTGACCCTTTGAAAATAAAGTTCGTTCGTTCGTTGTCAAATATTCCTTTCACATTTGTGTGTATTTGTACTGTTAGTTTGCATTTTTCTCTCCATGGGGTTTGTTCTGGAATACTTTTAAGTGGGCAACCAATTTCTGGAAGGTCAGCAGTTTGTCTACATATTATTTTTGCCTGGTGTATAAAGCTGCTTCTTTTTAACCGTCCCAAGGCTAGGTTCTGAAATCTATTTTTCATCGGGTGATCTGGCATACTGAGGAACTTTTCAGCTTAGAAATCTATGAACAGCAACAAGTAAGACAATCAATTGAAAGTAATACATTAAATAATGAGTGTCGTATAACATAATCTATGAACAGTAACAAGTAGGATAATCTATGAACAGTGACAGATAAGACAATATGTGACGCTGTTTCATTTTTTTTTTAAAGATTTCTGCAGTCATGTAAAAAGATACGCAACTAACTGTACCTAGCTTTGCTGCCCTTTCTGAATTGCCAACGAAGAGTTTCCTAACAGATGTTTCCAGCTTAAGCCATATTAAGAGTCAGTCTGTCTTTAAGTCTGCGTGTTGGAAACACTCCAGACCCTTTGTCTTCTCTCCTTTGAATCCTTCTTTCTAAGTATGGAAACTCTGTTCCGTTGCAGTATCTATTGGAGTCAAGACAGCTTTTCTACATCCTCGTAATAATAAAGTAGCTTAGCGTCTAGAGAAGCAGCAGCAGCCAATCTATAAGCCTAATCATGACTCCTAACACTATACATCATACAGAAGATCACTATGCTAACAATTTTGCCGCGATCTTATAGAAGACTGTTGGACCAATAATTTACCATAATCTTAAAGAAGACTTGGACTTACAACTCACCGGAGATCTTATAGAAGAGTGTTGGACTAACAACTTACCGGAGATCTTATAGAAAACAGCTTTTCAGAGATCTAATAGAAGACAGTTAAATTAACAACTTACCGGAGATCGTATAGTTAACTGTTGCACCAACACTTTACCAAAGATGTATGTATGTATGTATGTATGTATGTATGTATCGTATGTTATGTATGTATTATGTATGTCTATGTATGTATGTATGTATGTATGTATGTATGTATGTATGTATGTATGTATGTATGTATGTATGTATGTAGTATGTATGTATGTATGTATGTATATGTATGTATGTATGTATGTATGTATGTATGTATGTATGTATGTATGTATGTATGTATGTATGTATGTATGTATGTATGTATGTATGTATGTATGTATGTATGTATGTATGTATGTATTTATGTATGTATGTATGTATGTATGTATGTATGTATGTATGTATGTATGTATGTATGTATGTATGTATGTATGTATGTATGTATGTATGTATGTATGTATGTATGTATGTATGTATGTATGTATGTATGTATGTATGTATGTATGTATGTATGTATGTATGTATGTATGTATGTATGTATGTATGTATGTATGGTATGTATGTATGTAGTATGTATGTATGTATGA